TGAGGATCGCCCAAGGCATGCTCGTCCCATGCGGCCTTTCGGACTCTCAATGTCGAGGCGTATCTCCAGTCTGATTCATGGTCACGACTGTCCGTCCGCCTTCATTCTTCTTCAGAGGGGAGGGCCTCGGGAAACCAGCCGTAGGAACTAAAGTCTACCTGGAACTCGCCCATGGCCGTCCGCGAGACCTCGACGTCCTCGGCTTGTAGGGCTTCGGCTTGGTTTCGGGCGCCTGAGGGCTGGGAGCTAGAGGTTGGTGTTAGGTAAGGTACGTAATGTGAGTGTGAGTGTGATGGTGCGGAGTGCGGAAGGGTTCGGAGGTGTAGATGGGAGAAAGGCCGTTACCGTGGCGAGATTGTTCCTTTGGCGTTGATGACGCGCTGCCATGGGACGTTTTCGTTATTGAAGCGGGATGTTGGGTCTGTGGGGAGGTGTTTGAGGCAGATTCCTACTTGACGGGGGCGTTCGGCTGTTGGTGGGGTGGGGGTTGTTAGCAGGTGGATATTCTTGATGAATGTCGTATACGTCGCATTCTCTCCTGAAGAAGGAGTGAGGGAGGAGATGATGATACATAGATTGTGGGTAAGATGAGGTGAGATGGGGATGTTAAGGTGATGGCAGGGAGTGAGTGAGGGAGAGACTCACGGGTTCCGACGAGCCTGGCGATGTGGCCGTAGGTTGTGACTTTGCCGACGGGTATTTCTTGGACTGCGGTGTAGACTGCGTGAAAGAATGCTTCTGCTTCTTCTGTGCGGGCCATGTTTTTGAGGTATTGATGACAAAGGGTCTGGGAGGTGGGTATGGTGGTGAGAGACGGTGTGGCGATGAGCATGAATGATGAGTTCGTGAAGTATGGTTGGTGTTGTGCTGGATGGAAGTGAAGTCGCTGCTGACAATTTTAGCTAGGTGTTTAGCGTTGCTGATTGGACAGGGAATGGATGCAGGCACTTTAGGGAGCTACTTCGTCCCTTCACCCCTCCACCCCTCCACCCCTTCAAGCGCTTCGCGGTCTACTAAACGCAATAGTTGCTATTACTCCTTCATCAATGAGAATCATTGATGGTCTATCACGTTCGAATCTAACAAATAATATGCATTCGACTTTGGCGGGAATGTACTCCTCTGGCAACTGCCTTTGCGTTTTTACCTGGGCGCGTCTCATGGTGTCAGTACCTCCCGAAGAAGAAACCAAGCCCGCACGTGTATCCCCGGCCAATTACATGATCCCCTGAAAGGAAGCAAGCCATATGAGCAGAACCTCCTGCCATTGCTCAGCTCAGCTCAGCTCAGCCTGCTTGCCGCATACTCAACCTACGCCTCTTTTCCATCATTCACAATACATATTTGCTGGAAGGTCAGAATCCAGTTTGACAGCTTCGCCAACGGTATCCAGTTAATCGACCTGTCACCCTCCATTTGAGTCGACGACGACTTGTCTGGCAAGCAGTCTCCCAGGCCCATCCATTACTATTTGTACATGCCAGCGAACCCGTGCCAGGCTCCAAAGACCGTGAACAGAAACCACGCAACAGACGGCGACCGACCATGTCCGATCAAGTAGGCTTCAGCTTCCAAGCCGACGTCGTGAACACGGCCTCCCTGGGACATGTTTTGACCAGAAGACTGCTCAAGCCGTTCAGCGATGGCGGTGTTGATACGTACGCCATATGGGCTGCTGTTCAGTTGGGAAAGCGTATCCCGGTGCAAGCTTTGCACCAGAGCTCATTGCACGCACACATAACGTCGAAAAAGACATCAATCAGTCCTGTCTAAAGCACGCAGTATTGGCTGGGGCCACTCGGCACCAGTGGCAGATTTGGCTCGAACTGTTGCTGGAGCGAATGCTATCATTCTGATTGGCGCTCTCGGAACGGGAAGTCAGGCATTTGCTGCCGCCCAGTGTCTTTCCGAGGTGATGGCAATTTTCGGGCATGAAACCGACACGCTGCCAAGTGTCGATGTCCTCAAGGGACTGGTCAACTACTTGGCTCCCTTTACCCAAGACCTCGGCTTCGCGAAAGTTGTCCATCATATCACGAATGCTGCGGAAAGAGTGATGAGGCATGCCCTTGGGGACAACGAACTGGAACGCCTCGATCAAGCGAATGCCCTAGTCCAACGACTCAAAAGTCTTGGAAGCGCTACTTCCCTAGCAGGCGCTATCAAACAACTCATTCACACATCTCAGAGGAACGAAAAAGGTTACATGGCACTTAAGACGCGCGGATCATGGCTCCCAGCCTTTGCGAGCCATAAACTTGGCATGTCTGTGGAAGTTCGGTTCAACGGAACTACTGTCTGGGCTAGCGGAGGTGATCACGGGCATTGTCTCTTCCAACTTGAAGATGAATCCACCGTTCACCCCGCTCTCCATTCGTTTTCACAGGCCGATGGGGTCGTTGCACGTGTAAAGGAAGACTTCGAAGGCGTAAGCGATGGATCATCTTTGATCGTTGATTATCTGGTCGGAAAGGCTCTCGAGGCGCAGCTCCTCAAAAGGCCAGAAATTAATAACGAAATTGCTGCATCTATTCGAGTTGGGATAAAATGTCTCTGCTTACACCTTCTGAGAAGACTCCGGCTTGATAATGGCTACACTTCCGCCAATTGTGTTAACGGCCTCCTCGATGGCGTGGGGGCATTGGAGAGCGTCTTAAATACGATGGGTATTGACGTCAACTCTAATCAGCAAGTTCCCCCAGGCCTGGAAAAGTACCTTGGACCTCCTCCGAAGTCAGTGCTAGAGGGGACAGCGTACCATGGACTTTATTTTCTCGACCCCAAGGCTTTGAACACACTGACTGATTCTTGTCCTCTGCGTCACTTCGAGGGCCGTGGATTTGAATGCACTGGAAACCCCACCCTTTGCGTCTGCATGGATGTTGGGAGGTTGATTCACTGCACTGCAGCCACGGCCATCGCACTCATGTTCTGCAATTTCGATGCTGCCGAAGTAAGAGTAAAGGAGAAGGTCATGGCGGGAGACCTTATCACGATCTGGAGCAAAAATCTCGTCTCAAATCTCCATGAGGATGAAGTCCACAGGAGCGAACAGGAAGGTGGAGAAATGACCATAAATGTGAACCATCACGACTTATTCCATCACCTCGGGGAACTGGTTTGCTGTGACTATGAGTATCACTGGTTCGACAAAGCTGATCAATTTCCGAGACCCGGAGAAACATATACAATCTTGGGAATTTCAGGAAGAGCCTTCACCATCAATTACAAATGTGTAATGGAAAATGAGTGTTTCGACCAGTGCGGCAGATTCATCCGCATTCAGTCCGGCCGGGCATCAGTGGCCGGGACCTTTCGCAGCGTCATCGTGGAAGGAACAGTTGGCTTCGAGGATCAAATGAACGAGACGGCGGAGGTTGTCTCCTTGGCGGGAAAGACCACGCTGGAGCCTAGTCACAGACCACCGGAAACTGGGATCACATTGGATGTATTCGTGCATGAGGCGGCCATCTTGGTCAGACTGAACTTGACTGGAAAGATGTCAAGGTCAGTAGCCGCATCTTTTACGTTTTGCGTGCGTCATATATTTTCTCAGTGGGCCGTTCCAAGATGCAATCATGACAAGGACGGGTCATACACGTTGTTACACGATCAGGATGTGGTTTTGAATGGTTTCCACATCGCCAGTTTACGCCGACGAGAAGCTACAGAGGTGCTAGTGTACGCTTTGCGTGGGAATCAACTTGAGCAGCTTCTTGTTTGCGGTTTGATGCTATTGAAGGTGGCTAGATGGGCACATGGGGAGAAGTTACTTTTCTGGTCACCGGCCGACGAGCTTGGTGTTCTTCAAGCTTCAGCTTGCCTCAAGTGCTGCATTGACTTGGCTCGGCAACCGGGTCATCTTCCTTGTGTTGTGATGGGGGGTTGAAGAGGAGCTGATACGTTTTCTCTGGTTAGGTGTCTTCAAAATGTAATTGCACTCTGTATCGTTGCCACGAGTTGACTTTAGAATAAGCTAGACGAGGCCTGTTTCGCTTCATGTTTGCACCATATAACCAATGAAATATATCTTCGAGGATGTGGATAAATCTCTGGAACCCAAATCTTTTGAGATGGCATCCGCTATTGACGTCGAGTTGGCTCCCTTTCAAATTACCTCGGGCATGATTAGTGAAGTGGCCTACGAAAATTGCGAGACTCTGCAGAGATATGAGGCAACGACAGCTGCAAACGGATTAGCCAATATTTATCTTGCAGTTTCTAAACGTAGTAGCAGCAAGATATCTCCGGCGGGGTCGTTAAAGAGAAGTACTTATCTGTGTCGAGCACAGTCATCGCTCACGGATTACCCTCCGGATCTGCCCGTCTCAAGTCCGAACTCCTGTGGTGGGTATCAAACTGCATGTTGATTTTCCCTTTGATGAAAGATCACTCCTATAGAGTCTTGCCCTTCTCCGAGGGACACTGTTCCATGAGCGAGGCTCAAGACTTTCCCCATCACCTCCAGCTAGCATACTCGACGATGGTGGTGACTACTTTAGTCAGGTCTTCCTTCATCAGTTAGTGGTACCTAGTAAAGAGGTTCATGGCGGAGTGATACACAATGTGATGGCACCGCAGTATTTCACCACAATGTGTAGCAGGGTTAGTTAATATGATAGACCCCTGTGAAGCGTTCGTGTAGATTTGACAGCCCATATTCCCGGATCCGAAGGTGATTATTGCCGTACCACCATGTTAGACCAGCAGCAAGGAACTTCGGATTCCGTGCTGAACAACCCGTCGACGGACCCGTCGTGACAATTCGAACCACTGAAATGCTCCTAGACACCTCCGACGTCGCATTGCGGCCGCCGGACTTGGCCCGACGCCCCGCGTTCTCGACTTCTCCCCGGATCCACATCCATGGGGGCGGGGGCTGTACGACTCGGATTCTGAATACGACAAATCCGCGAGGAAACCCGAAACATCTCCTTCCAAAACGCCCCCATTTCTCTGACCTGTTCAATCTTTCAACTCCTATCTGGTCTCAACTCATCCCGTTCATGAAACCCCGCTATACGTTGTCATCATGGAAGCATTCGTAAAGTGCCGTGAAACCCGACCTCAACTTCTTCAAAGCCTCCTGGCCGCTCTTCCTCCACTTGACAAGTCCCTTGAGGAATTCCGCGACGTCGTAATTCTACCTGATGGCTACAAAATCGACCTTCAAGTCGTCCGCCCGCGCGGCGTAGACGAGTTAAAGGCGGACAGGCCTCTCATCCTGCTCTGGCCGGGCGGCGGTTTCATCGTTGCCGGCGTCGAGCCGACAACCCGCCCCGCTCGAGAATTCGCACTCGAGTTTGGCGCTGTGGTAGTCAACGCGACGTATCGTCTCGCGCCTGAGAACAAGTTTCCCAGGTCTGTCAAGGACGGATGGGAGACAGCTGTCTGGCTTTCGAAGAACGCTAGTCGGTTCGGGGCGGATATCAGCAAGGGCTTTGTCGTTGGCGGGTGGTCTGCCGGTGCGAATATTGCCGCGGTTGTTAGTCAGAGGTCTGGCGTCGAGGGACTGGGCATTACCGGTACGCTTCTGGGTATCCCATTCTTGCTTGTCAAGGAAATTGTGCCGGAGAAGTATGCCAAAGAGTGGGTTTCCCGCGAGACCAGCGCCGATTGGAGCCCGACTTTTACTACCGCTGTCATCAACGATGTGTCGAAGGCGCTGGAGGCGGAGATCAAATCGCCATGGTACTCGCCTTTTAACGACCCTGAAGCTATCCCGAAGTCACCAAAGACTTATATCCAAGTTGGCGATCGAGACCCGTTGAGAGATGATGGATTAATTTACGCAAAGGTTTTGAAAGATAATGGGGTCGAGTCGAGAGTTGATAACTATCCTGACTGGGGACATCAAGGCTGGACTATATTTGCTCCTCAAGACTCGCCTGCGGAGCTGGGGCCGAATACGATGAAGGGGATGCGGTGGCTGTTGAGAATTGGGAAGGAGTAGACTTCAGCGAAGGAGACTGAAGTTTCAGGCAATCTTGGAAAAATTTAGTAGATTCAGAGAATTCGCGCATAATAAAACACAGATAGAGAGGACATCTTGTCGGGTCAACGTCCCTACCTATCTCTTTGAAACTACAGCCAGGCGCAACTTAGCGGATTGAGGCCAACACCGATAACTTTACTTCTCGACTTTGCGATGAAGCTCTCGAAAGTCTACTTCAAAACATTCCAGGCAATGATAAAACCTGCCCAATGATTATCTGCCTGAGTCTCAGTGTCGAAAAGAGACATTACATGGATAAATCAACCATTACTAGTACTGTAATTAGGTACTGTGGAGTAAGTCCCGGGAGCATCGTACACCGAATCTCAACACAGATTTGGTGGAGGTGACGTGAAATACAACGCGCGATTCGCTCCTTGACCGCGAATATTCTGTCGACATCAATATGCGTTATTGGTTCTAGATAGCGTTGTCGTAGCTTTGTTTCTCCGCTTTCGGTGAACGGTGTGGATAATTTGAGCTGTTGCGATGCTGGGGCCGGAGCACGTCATCGGAACTCGCGCACGGAGGACGCTTCTCCCATCCGGCGAGCCCGGTTCGTAGCGCCGGAAGACGGGAAGTCGGCTTAGCTAACAGCCAAACTCTTAAAGTCTCGTCTCTGAGCGTTGCGCGATCATATTCACCTTCCGCTTTCGATTGAAATGATCAATTGAGCGAGAAGTTTCAATCAAGGTGAATCGCAATGCAGTTCAAGACATCAGCGTTGGCCTCCGCGGCCTTGCTTCTCAGCGGCAATGTTGCAGCTTATGGTGACGCCCAGACTCCCCTCGTCGGCCCCGACCTGGATGCGATATCGCCTTCTTCACGGCCGAACATCGTTTTCGTCTTGACTGACGACCAAGACCTGCACATGAACTCGTTGGAGTACATTCCGCTGATTCAAAAGAGGCTCATCGAAGAAGGAACACTGTACAAGAAACATTTCTGCACGACGGCTGTATGCTGCCCATCGCGTGCAAGTTTGTGGACGGGCAAATTGGCTCACAACACCAACGTCACCGACCTCAACCCACCATATGGTAAGATAGTCTCATCCACCCACATGTCTGATGGACTTACGTCGAGATGCATGGACATAAAGCTGACCGGGGTCTGCAGGCGGCTTCCCCGTCTTTGTGAAGAACGGCCACAATGAGAATTACCTGCCCATTTGGCTGCAAAACGCCGGATACAGCACCTACTACACAGGCAAAATGTTCAATGCCCATACTGTTTGGAACTATGACAGCCCGCATCTGAAGGGCTGGAACTCTTCTGTGAGCGTCCTGCTTGACTAAACAACCAATCTCTCCCGCTGACCCTGTCTCAGGACTTCCTCCTTGACCCAAACACATACGACTACTACAACGCCACCTTCCAGCGTGACCATGAGAAGCCAGTCAACCATCTCGGCGAGTACTCAACCGACCTGGTGGCAGAAAAGGCCTACGGATTCCTTGATGATGCCGTCGACGCTGGCAAGCCCTTCTTCATTGGCATTGCTCCCATCGCCCCGCACAGCAACGTCAATTCCAGTATCCTTCTTCCCGTCAAGGGCCCAGACGACAACGTTCCTGTATCTGACGACAAGTTCCGAGTCAGCATCCCGTTAGCTGCCAAGCGACATGAACACCTCTTTGAGGACACTAAGGTCCCGAGAACAGAGAACTTCAACCCCGACAAGCCCTCTGGCGCCGACTGGATTCGCCGCCAGCCCAAGCTGACGGATGAGAACGTGGCATACAACGACAAGCACTACCAAGGACGTCTCCGTGCCCTGCAAGCAGTCGATGAGCTTGTCGATGGTCTCGTGAAGAGGTTAGAGAAGCATGGTATCCTGGACAACACGTACATCTTTTACACAACGGATAACGGCTACCACATTAGCCAGCACCGGCTGCAGCCCGGTAAGGAGTGTGGGTACGAGGAGGATATCAACATTCCCCTCATCGTTCGCGGACCCGGTGTTCCCAAAGGAGGCGTGACTGAAGCCGTCACGGCGCATGTTGATCTTGTCCCCACCATTCTATCGCTTGCGGGTGTGCCGTTGAGAGCCGACTTTGATGGAGCGCCGATCCCGCTCTCGGCCACGGACCTGACTGAGTCTCCGCTCACCCGCGAGCACGTCAACGTTGAATACTGGGGCTGGGCCATCACTGAGAGCAAGTTCGGTTTCAATGGCGATGATACGAAGCGCATCTTCAACAACACCTACAAGGCACTTAGAGTTGTCGGCGAGGGCTACAACCTTTACTACTCGGTTTGGTGCACCAATGAGCACGAGCTTTACGACATGACTGTGAGTTTACTGCCGAATGATGATCGAGTTATCCTATAAGACCTTATCATACTGATCTCAATCTAGACCGACCCCGGTCAGCTTCACAACCTCTTGCATACCGATGAAGCTGCCCTGGCCGCACGCGCAACCATTCTTGGCTACCCTTTCAAGAAGGTCCTACCCAGACTTGACTCCCTCCTATTCGTCCTCAAGTCTTGCAAGGGCACGACCTGCTCGCAGCCATGGAAGGCCCTCCACCCTACAGGAAATGTCGGCAGTCTGCTTGAAGCCCTCGCACCGCGCTTCGACGAGTTCTACATCCAGCAGACTCGTGTGCAGTTTGAACACTGCGAGCTGGGACACATTGTCGAGACTGAAGGGCCGCAATTTGAACACGATGGAGCTGTGTACTGGAAGGGTTCCAAGTGGAGTGACTGGACTTGAGAAGGCTTGGCTACATGTATAACGCGGTTTTGAGGTATCGCCGGATAATGGAAGCTCAACGGGATTACGACTTGCCGAACATTTGCCCGTCGTACGAGAGCAGCGGGGTTCCACGGCATCAAAAGGCGGTGAAAATTCCCGCAGCCAAGGTCCGCAAGTGAAACATGTTCAACAGCGTGACAGTGCGTGATCTCGAATAATCGCAACGGGACCTACGCAACGGCACGCGGCTTGCTGCTCGATCGAGGGGCCCGCCGTGCGACATCATGACCCCTCTTCCCCACATTGAGATCCGCTTCGGAACTAGGAATTGAAGCTCCCTTGTCTTCCGGAACTGGGAAAGCCAGCATTCCCCCCAACTCCGACCGGATTAGACTTCGGGAAACGCTCGACATCTTTAAAGCAAGTGAATCCTGACGTATGTCTACTCGATTCGTCATCGTCCGATGAAAAAGGTGTTTGTAGTTTGGGGAAAGTATCCCAAGAAGAACATCTCAGCTTCTACAACGACTTCCCCACACATCAATCCCGTGCACACTCAACATTTTCTCGCTTGAACACAAATTGCATTACCAATTAGGTCAAAATGGCGCCGTATCAAGGTCATTGCAACTGTGGCTCGGTCAAGGTCACAGTCAACAAGAAGCCGGATAACATCGTTATTTGTCACTGGTAGGTCCACCATCCTCATTGCCCCCACCTGTCGTTCTGAAGATTGCAAATTGACATGAAATAAACATCAGTTCAAACTGCAAACGTGCTGGTGGTCGTACGTTTGACTCTGAAATCTTCCGATTGAGCTAAGGTAGTCTGACCGTGATGGACACATGTAGCCTTCTCCATGAACCTTTTCGTCGATGATGGTGAATGGGAGATCGACGATAGCCAAAACACGCTGAAAGAGTACCAGGACTCGAACACTGATTCCGGAAATACCATTCAAGTCAGTTGAAAACTTGTTATCTAAGACAGGAACCATCTCTGACCTAATGCTTCTAGCGATGCTTCTGCGGAAAATGTGGAAGGTAAGGCTATCAACTAGACGACCCGTCCATTTGTGTACTGACAACTTGTTCAGTCCTGTCAAGACCACAACAAAGGCGATTCCCGGCAAAGCGCTTATCAAGGCATCATTGTTTGACGACATCCCAACCAAGAAGAGTGAAGTGTATGGCCAGAAAGCGATCGACTGGGCCTAGAGATGCTGTCACTAAATTTGAAGTTACGAGATGGGGCGTTTGAGGCGGGTGGGGGGTCACTTTGGCGGATGAGGTTGGGTAAAAGTGACAGATGGCAGATAGATTGAAAGTATATGTGCTTGATATGCAGTGAGAAGCTAAAAATATGGCACTTCACTCCCACCCCGAACTTGACAAATGAACTGGGAAGAGGTATTCCAGCTGCCCAATTAAAGCAAAGAGTCTATACATAGTGATCGCTTAAGTTACTTTACTCATCCACCACCCTACACATTCAAGTCCGCCCCCGTATGCCCGAACTCGCTCTTGTATGTCGTATCTACAACCCCCGTATCTACAATTCTCGTGCTGGTACGATTGGAGGGGAACGTTCGGTTGAACCCCAGGTACGGGCCCAAACTTGGTGGGAGATCCTGGACCCTCGTTCCCCAGTCACTCTCACGCCGGCCAAGAGTAAGTACCAGCTCCTGACCCTCGGTGAAGAACTTGTGATCAACCCAGCTTTTTCTGTAAGGCTGTCCGTTAAGCGTCGCCTTTTGGATGTAGATGTTTCTGTACTGTGGGTCAAAGTTGATGTTGCGGACCTTCGCTGTTCTCCCTGTTTGCGGGTGCGTGATTTCGATGCTCTCGAAGAAGGGTGGGATGATCAAGTAGACATCTTGCCCGGGATTGGGAAACAGACCCATCATAGAGAAGGCAAGGAAAGATCCCATGGCACCACTATCGTCGTTACCGGGAAGGCCGGCTGGATCAGGTGAAAAGAATGAAGGGATGTAGAAATGAGCTCGTCTTGCGGATAGAGCTGGACGACCGGCATAATGGTATTGGAAGACTGTAAGGAAAGCTGGTTCGTTGCCAATGTAGGTGATGTTTTGGTCATGCAAGAAGTTGAGCCTGCGAACGAAGGCGTCCGGGCCACCAAGGGTGTTGATGAGCGTTCCTTGGTCGTGAGGAACAAAGCTATCAAGGTCAGTTAGTCGAGGCTCCCACGGTCAACCACATTACATCTCGACTTACAAGCCATACTCCCAAAGACTGCTCTCAAATGTTTCTGGGCCGTTGTTCTGCAACGAACACGAGCTCTGCCCATCAAGATTACTGCAGTTCAGGGGGTTCTGATAGGCCCAAGTTTGGTTGAGGAATTTGGGCTCAAAGAATCCTCTGAAGCCGGTGTCGGTGCCGTTGAAGAAGGCCGACTTCTGATCCTGCCTGTACAGGTTACGCCAGTTACTGCTTGACGAGAGATACTTTTCTCTGTCATCCCCATGCCCCATGCGGTCCGCCATGGATGCGATGCAAAAGTCGTTGTAGCTGTACTCCAGCGTTCGTGAGACGCTACGAGTCAAAGTTCCGAAGCCTTTGACATCGAAGTCCTGAACGGGAATGTAGCCCAGCTTCTTCCAGCTGTCCATTCCACCACGACCGTTGACGCTCCAGTCGAACGGTTCTTCATCCGCGTCCTTCTTCACCGCTTCATAGCCCAGATCCCAGTCAATTCCCTCGGTGATATTCTTCAAATAAGCGTCCGCCAGAACGTTGTCCGCGTTTGATCCTCCCTGGGTGAGCCCCTTGCACAAACTCATGCGGCAGTCCGGAAGCCAGCCGAGGTGAACGTACGTATCGATGAGAGACCTGACCATTTGCGCAACCGAAGTTGGATCGATAATCACCAGGAACGGAATCTGGGAGCGGAACGAGTCCCACAAACAGTAGAATGAATCCCAGTACGGCTCATCGCTTTTCCAGAGGGGGTTCTCGCCAGTGTAATTTTGGGGGTTGACCATAGTTCGATAGATGCCGCTGTAAAAGTTCCGCGCGAAAGACTCATCCACACGATCGGTGTTGATCTTGATGGGACTGAGCTTACGGCGCCAAATTGCTGTCGCTTCGCCCGACACCCTCTCAAAGTTGTAATCCGAAATCTCACCCTCAGCATGTTCACACGCCCTTTCCTCGCTGATGAAACTAGTCGCGACACGCGCGGTAATGGGCTGGTCCGCAGACTTGAACCGCACAAAGGCGCCGCCGGGCAAGGGATATCCGTTGATAGACCGCGAGATAGTCATGTTCTTGACCTCTGTGCTCGCGCGGCTGTCTGCAAAGATGCCCGTATCGAGGATCTCAGCGCCATTGAAGTCGGTGCAAAAGTGCAGGACAAAGGTACCGCTGCCGAAGCTCGGCTGGAAGCGCGCGTTGCCTGTGATGCGTCCTGATTTGGCGTCCACATTGATCGTTGCGTTGTCTTGTCTCGTGTCGCCGAGATCTGAGAGGTCTTGCAGGATGAGAGGCTGTCCTGCCTGGGGGAAGTTGAACCTTATGAGAGATGCTCGCTCGGTTGTCGTCATTTCCACCCGGATGCCGGTTTTCAGGGTGATGTTGAAGAGTCCCGGCTTTGCGATTACGTCTTTTTGGTTGAAGTAGCCATACTTCGCCCTCGACTTTTTCGGAAATGTGCACCAGTTGATGACTCCGCTGGGGCAGGTTGTGTATGCAAATAATGGGAAGTTTCCCAGAGAGGGCTGTCCGCCAGTACCGGAATCATGCATTGTCGAGAATCCGGTGACTGGGTTCCCATCCAGAGTAAAGCCGCCTTGATTCGAGCTGCTGTTGGTATCCGCAGATGCCTTTGCCATGCCATAGGGTAGTGTCGCACCCACGAAGACATTGCCACCATTCCTAGAGCCGATGAGAGGATCAACATATTGTAAAGCGTCGAAATCGTCTTGGGCCCCGACTGCGGCCGAGTTCGTCAAGTCGGTGGAGGATGAGCCGGATACCCAGTTCGATGCAGCTTGTACGGCGTCGTGAGCTACATGTGAGGCTGCGTGATTAAGTGAAGGCAGATAGGTGTCTGGCATAAGCCACCAGCGAAATATCGCCGCGACGCCATGGAAAGACCACAACTCGCTCCACATCGTGACTCTCGGTTGATAATGCGTTTACTACCTGCACGACGAATGAAGTCTAAAATCTGCAGCAACAACCGCGTTGAAGATTTCCCATCATCCCTTATCATACAAGTAGGAAATGGCTGTCCCGGCCAACACGTGACGAAACGTCAAAGCTAAAGTTGGTCTCAAGTTCAGTAGAGTTTCCTCCGAGCTCTGCTGAGAACGTCCTGCATGCCACTCATGCCAGCTTGAGGCGGCCATTGGGCATCATGGCGTAAACGGCGAAAACCGGCCATCGTGTACTGCGATTCCAACCCCGCAGTAGGACTTGTCATGGACCGGATGGTGTAAACTTTCAATTCTCTTTTCATGGTTGCATTGAATCAGCTAGCTTCAGTGATGCTTCAATAAGCTGAGGTCGCAAGCGGCAATCGAATAATGTAGTCTCGGTCCCGTCGTCGCATTGATCGAGAGCCCGCTTGGACCCGACAGTTGCAAGAGAAACTTAAACAATGGGGCGGGAAGCAGGCACTGGCAGACCTGTATCTTTCGCAAACCCAACCGTTTCACATCAGAAACGAACCTTTTTTCAATCTCATCCACTGGATTTGGGCGTTTCTCGTCGTTTGTTTCCCTCCCGAGTCAGGATGCTTTGGTCCGTGGGAGTGGATTGACGGCCGCCACCCTGCCTGTCTGCCGACATGACGGACGTTACTTTGAGGAGTCCGTCGTCGTACTTCTGCTTCGAGAAGCTGTGGATGGAAGGCATGCAAATTGGACGAACTACGGCTGAGTATCCTGCTACATAGTGGCAGGTATCTGCCCGCCTACCTTAGTCGACTTCTCCCGATGATTACTACAATCTCGTCCTACCGGCTTCTACAAACACCACCGAGGTCGATATATGACCCAGGCAGCGGGCGGTTTGTAACATCGGAGGTGGGATTTCAAGTTGAGTTGACCACCTTACAATGATCTCGCATCACATTTTTCCATGCAGTCTCGAGGATCTTGGCGTCACTTCCCATTGCAGAAACGACTCAGGCTGTGCAGACAGTTTGTCCGATCTCTTTGTGCCTTTTTGAAACGTTCCTCTTTTTTCCAAGTTTCCTGGTGTTTGACTATGCCATCGGAGGCCAAACGAACGAGATGCCAGACCTAAATGTGATCTGGGCAGAGCTCTTGCGGAAACTTTGGAAGAGATTCGTGTCACGGCCATATGATTGGACAAAGCTATCCCGGATACCTGTTCATGCCCGCAGCTTACACGGGTACTGCGAGCTGCAATCTTAGATGAGAGTTGAGTCAATGACCGACCCGATGTCTTTCTCTGCATACGCTTCTCTCTAGTGCTACTCTACTAAGACCTTGCAAGCGCAAGTGACTATCTCATCCTTAGATTTCTGTGTTGAACTCATCAATAACACTTTGAGGCTTCACGAAGCTGCCTAGCGGATGATACTCGAGGTGAGAAAACCCAAAAGCTTCAGGCCCACCAATCTCAAGACCTCTCGCAGAGCCAGTCCACCGATCGCTGGCCGCGATTCCCAGAACAATGACCAATAGTCCGTACCTGTAATCTGGTGTTCCAATGGCTTCGCCGTTTTGCGCATCAATGACGGCGATAAGATCTGGCACGATGGCTAGGACATCCTCTTGCTTCTCTGTCCCGGCTTCGTGTGGCCCGGATCTGGCAGATGTAGCCTTGATTGCAGCGATGTTCTCATTCTTGAACGGAATCTTGACGAAACCTGCGAACCGCTGTTTGTTCTCCCCTTTCCCTGACTCATCCGAGGTGAAAATATCAGCGCCTTCGATGACCAGCTCCCCATAAACGTGACCCTTCCTGAGCACCCTCTCGACGCCCACAATCTTGCCCTTGAAGAGAACCTTGGCCGAGCCGTGGCCGCCGCACTCCTCAATAATGGTCTCCGCAACATTGTCCACACGATTGAGCTTCCTCGCCTTCGCAACAGCGCGACCAATTCGCCACGACTGAGAAATGGTATGTTCGACCACCCACCTCTTGGTCTCGGCTCCCGTCACCGGCGGATCAGCGACAGCCACCTGCGAGCCCATCTCTGCCAGTGCCGCACGCATAACCCGCTCAACCTGCTTATCAGATGACGCCCGCGACATCGTGACGATACTCCCATTTCCGTCGCTCATAGTCACGGGCGTCCAGATAGGACTCCGCTCGTTGAAGACCACAGGCGTCGTCTGCCACTTGGTCGGGTACGCCCGGCCCATCCAGTCGCCGTCGACTGCAGGGACATTCATATTGGTGCTGGAGCCGATCATCATGCTCTGCAGACCGTTGGCGCCGCCTATCTCGACGGAGATCATGTGCGTGGCGGGCGTGCCCAAGTTCTTGTACATCTCTTCCTGTGCCTCTTGCATCTCATCGGCGGATTTTTTCTCGATGGCTACCGTGGGTGACCCCGCGTAGCCTCCACAGCCGACGAGGGCATCATCAGGTACATCGTGGGGGTTCACGACTCTGACGACTGCGCCTTTGCGAAGCTTCTCGCGTAGGATGAGTTGTTGGGAGTATGGAGAGCCTCCTCCGCCAGTGCCGAGGATATAGCATCCGATGCTGATCCAGTTTAGGTCGGTCTCGCTGATGTGCCAGACTCGATCTTTGACAAGAGGTTTGTAAGTCAAGACATCAATCTCTTCCCTGGTGTGAAACTTGGTAGTCTTCACGACTCGATTGGCTGATACCTCATCGTCTTGGCTCTCATTCTCGCTGCTTTGCAGTACGGACGAAAGATCTGTCCGAGAATAGTCGAAGTCACCAGCAGCACGCACAACGAAGCGCGACTTATTGGCAATGTACTACCTCCGTCAGCCGACATGAATCCACGTATCCCAGACTCCCGGAATCACTTACAGCCAGGGGTATCGTATCCACATCCACGATCTGAACAGACGAAGGAACCGCACCCGCAGCAACGGCCTTCTCCTTAGCCTCTTCCTCCACTTCACCCAAGATCTCCTGGACCGATCTGGACTCTGTCGACTTGACCGTGTCCACGGTGGCACTGACACGTGCAATGGCTGCGCCGATCGCGTTGGCGATGCCCGCCCACTCAGGCTTTAGCACCTCGCTAGCTCCCCTTAGCTCGTAGGGCGCAATCACGGCACCTCCGCCGACTAGGAGTACAGGTATGTCTTCGGGCGAGGTCTTCATCGTGTCAATCACCTTTTCGAGCTTTTGCTTGACGATGGTGGTGAATTGGGCTACGCCTTGGGCCAAGGTAGCGTCTCCGATGGGGTTGGCAGGCGACGATGAGCTGGCGAGAACGGTGCAGTCCGTGGCTGTTAGAGTGCACCCTCCAAAGACCAAGGCCTCCGTTTTAATCCTATAACCAACGCTGTCGGGGCCAACTGTAAGCTTCTCGGCGCCCTTCCGGACTATGGAGCCCCCGCCTAGGCCGATGCTCTTGACGTCTGGACAGGAGAAGTTGAGGCGCACGCCGGCGAATTCGCTAAAGGCAGCTTGTTGGCGGGGGAAACCGTTGGCTTGCAGTAGGCCTACATCGGTAGTCGTGCCTCCAATATCAACTACCATGACGGCACGTTCGCTTGGTTGACGGTCCCGTACCAAAAACGCGGCTCCTCGCATGCTGTTGGTCGGACCGCTAGAGAACGTCCGGATAGGCAGTTCAGCAGCCCTCTCGCCTGACAAGATGGTGCTGTCATTCTGAGAGATGAAGACAGGACAGTTGAGGCCAAGTCTTTTCATGGGCCTTTGGAACGATTTGATGGTCTTGCGAGCAAATTTCAACACCGTTGCGTTAAGAATGGCCGCGTTTTCTCGCTCCTGGAAGCCCAGGTTGGCCACATCTTTGGAGCAGGTGACGGTGCAGCCGGGAATTTCCGAGCGTATGATGTCGCCTGCTCGCTCTTCTTGTCGTTCGGTCGTATCAATAGGGCTGAAGATGCCGTTTACAACGACGTTCCTAATACCTTTCTCACGAATGATAGCACAATGCGCTTTGATTTCCTCGGGATCAATGTCGGAGGTTAAAGTGCCATCTACCTCTAGACCTCCCTTACAGAGTGCATAGTAGCCCAAAATCAGGTCGCGTAGAGCTTCGGGCCAATCCAGGCAAGGCGCATCGTGTTTGGAGAACTGACTTGTAAGCCTGATGACGGCAACCGGCGCCAGACGAGTGGCATCTCGTTCGATGAGTGCGTTGACAAAGTGTGTTGTGCCGATGGTCACGCTGGCGATCTCACTCGGATCAATCTTGATGGATTCAAACATTGTGACGATAGTATTGTTGATGCCCTCGCTAGGATTCGTCGTTGTTGGCGACTTGTGCCATGCGATGATACCTTTATCGGGCTCAGAGGCCCGAGAGGGATCGAGAACAACGCCATCCGTGTTTGTCCCGCCGACATCGACGCCGATACGGAGATGTCGTGGTTCGGGTGCCATGATTGAACACCGATAGCTACGAGCGTTTTTGCTGTACGTTGACGGAAGACCGCACTGAACGCTGATGAAGATCGCGGGGTTCACATCTCCATGGAAAGTGGGAGGTGGGGAAAGGAAGGATGACGACCCCTCGGAGACCGAGGCCCGGGTACCGGGGCGAAGACCGGCCTCGGAGCGGCCCGCCAAGACCGGCGGAAGCGGGTAACGGAAGGCCTCGTTCAACAGACATCCGGAAAGTCATTCCGAAATTGCTGACCATAAGATTGCAGATTGTCATCACAAATTGTATCCACCATCGTAAGCTGTCCTCAGAAAGACCCTGGGGGTTTTCTTGGGACACTTCGCTCTAAAACAGAGGGGACTCGGCCTACTTCCCCCGACTGGCGATGACGTGCTCAGAAAACACCGAGACGGCCTCTTGGCATATTTTAGCAGAAGGCCAGGTCGCCAGAGATTGAGCGCCGCCGCTGGTCAGCGCAGAGTGATCAGGTTGCTTTTTGAAATCGTACAGCCAAGCGAGCGGCTTCTTTGCCCGTCTCTATCTCGTAAGTTGCCCCTGTTCGGATGCATGATGCGATGCACCATCGGGACCAGAACTGTGGGATTTCCACCAAGGAGGTCCCCATGTCGCTGCAGTGTAGTGTTTGCATGCGCGTACCAACGTAGGCTTCCGCTCCCGGCACAATCCGGTAATAGCGTCTTCTTTCTTCTGTTCTATTGCTGCGGCCCAGTCTGGAAGCTCTTCCTAACGAATGCCGACAACTCTCATGAGAGGCTAATGATATTGCGAAGGCTGGATGTCCCGGCGATCCCATCGTTCTGATTTGCAGCGATATCACGGCGAACAGAGGCCTTCGCGGACACTCACATAATCCAACAGAACCTTTGATGTGGTCGATATGTGTGTTGGAGTATTTCCTCAAGTAATTGCTTACCTGCCACGGCGAATCCTCCGGGAGACTCCATGAACATTTTGGTCCGATACATGACACAGTCGCGGGATGTGGACTGCAACAGGAGACATGAAAGCGTGCAGCTTCTGCAGTGGGCCATGCATACTTCACTCCAACAATACCGAACCCCAAGTAGTAAACACTGATGCCTTCATAATCTGACCTCATCTCCAATCCTTAAGTCTTCTGTTCCACTTTACATACCCCGGGCTCTGTCGGTGAAGACACCTGATCGAGATGGCGCATGTAAGGGTGAGGCGTGAAAGACATTGTATTTCCGGGACAGAGCTATCCGAAGCTCGGAGGGCTCAAGCGTATGGCGACATTTTGAGATTCACCTATGATGCCTGGGCTACCCTTAAGTTCTCACGCTGAAAAGTAAAAGACCGCTCGAAGCGCGATGAGAAACAACGAAGATCAATTGTGTTCTGGGCCACTTCCGTCACCATTGAGGGCGCCGCGGCACCTAGCCTTTCTGATGATGCCGTCGTGACTCTCAGCCGCGAAGATCATTGTTGAACGATTTGCCATCGAGGCACGTCGAGGATATGCCATATGATCGACCCTTCTAGCCGTACGCCAGGGACATCCATGCAGACACACACACACACATCACAGACGCTCGGCGTCGATGAAGCGGACGAGATGGACCACATCTCGCTTCTGTTGGCATGATTGAGCAAGTTTGTTTCTCGATCGGAAATCTGTCGAAAGACATTTCGTCGGGCAGCATGCATGTCTAGCATGAGTCTCTCCCGTTCAGCTGGGACGCAAAGAATCACGCTACATCCCACGCTGTCCCATTTTATTGCCTGAATTCGGTCTCGTAATAGTCCCAAAGTGGGAGTCCTGGGCCGACATATCACGTTCGGCAGTCAATTAGAAGTGTGAAAACTCTGCAGTCTAATGAAGTCAAAGTGACGGTTTCCAAGACATATCAAAGGTCGAAAAGTGGTTGCATACGTTCTGGCTTTTGCCCCCATTCCCCCGATTTTCGCCTCTGCTTCTCGGTCACAACCCCTCTCATATCGCGTGATCAAGCTGCTGCTTGTGGAGAGACCAAGACTTTACCAAGAGACGCCGTTCCAACTTTCAATCTGGTTTTAGTTTTGTTCCTGTGAAGAGTTTTCTCTCTGATGGCCCTTGACTCCTTGGCTGGCTAGCTGAGTTGCCTTCCCGCGATGCCGAGACTGAACAAGCAACACCAAGCTCAAGGCACCAGCATCGAGGCGCTCAATCAGAGAAGTTTCAATGTCTGGGCGCGGGCGCAGGCTCGTAGAGGATGGCAGAGAACGCAACAAACCAACCCAGCATTAAAAACAGAGACAAGAGATTACTGCGAAAACCTTACTGTAAGACCATGCCAACTGCGAACCTCCGGTGCAGGACCAGAGAGAGATTTGCCAAGATGGCTTTAACCCCCCAAAAGAGACATAGTCACCGAGAGTACTCGCGTGCTGCATAAAGAGAGCAAGAAAAAGCTGGGGGACTCTTCTGTTTGTGTTTGTTTGGCGCGGGTGCGATTTGATCCCTTTGGAATCGGGAGGATCCTTTAACGCTCGTCTCATTTACGCCAAGAATGGCGTGCTCGACACCATCGTCCAATATGCTTCCCGGGACCCGTTCTTTTTTTCTCCAACACCACACCCCCATGCATCCTCACCTCCCCCATATCACACCCTTCACTCTCAGCCCCGGGAGAAAACCAAAGACCAGATGGAACAGGGACCAGCCTTCCTACTAAGGTCTTCTGGGGTGTTCAGCCGTCTTGTCGTCCTTACGGGGGCACTGGCGCGGGAAGAATGGGTGGTGGTGAAGATGGTGGACGGAGCTCCCAAGAGTGGCATTGGATTGTCGATTTTCCCATCTCGGGTGTTCGGCAGGACATCTGGGTCACACACGACGTCGACTATGCTAGACATGGCATCGCGGACGAACCTGACAGTAGTAACCGACAAACCCGTCTGGCATTTAAGCTTATTGAGAGGAGCATCGACCCGGCATGCTGGGAAAATAGAGAAGGAGAGAAAAGGCGTGCGCAAGAACGTCGGTCCAATGTAAGCCTGCGTGTATCCAAGCAAGCCACTGGACATGAGCCTGTGTTTCCGCCGCATACCGCGGAGAAAGACCAAATTAGTTCCTTTTTTTTCTCTTCTCGGCCGCATCTGCTAATAGCTTTTACACTACTCTTTACTACCGCCCGCCTTGTCCGGCGGCCGGCCTCTCCAACGTCTCAAACATACCGCGCGCTCGATACCCTCACCGGTGGTCTGGAACGCCAGTAGTCGACCCTTTACTGATCAGCCCCAGTGCCACCTGCCGTGTCCATCACCGGTTGATCCCTGATCGATGGGCAAGAGGCTGAAGAGGACGGAATGATCACACGGAAGGCCGATCTCAGCTTCGAGTGATCTGGGAGGCGAAGACATACATCTTTCGTAAGTACCAACGTCCCAGTTGAAGTCTGCGTATGTCTGCGCATGTTAGCCGCGCAGTAGCCCAGCTGCATATGGCACATGCCGAATCAAGGCCATCCCGGCGCGCCTTGAATTTAGGACGGCGGAATTTTGTTTTTCTGACAGCTCTCCTTCTCCTCCCCGTCGCCCCCACGCTTCCAACCGAGAGAGCCAGCATCCCGGCGGCCGGGCACGGGCGAGGGAGAAGCCATCGAATTGGGTTGGACTAATTAGCTCGTGGTCAGGCAAGACAGTCGCCCAAGAGAGTGGTGGCACCAAATTCTCGCATTCCACACCCCGACCTGGAGTACCTACATGCACGTATTTCCAACACGCGGAAGTACCTACAATAAACCAGCCAGTCAGACATGAATTTCCTACCACAGAAGAGGACCCCTTATTAGCTCGGTTTAATATGCATACATGTACGGGGAGAAAGCGGTGGTCCACCCCGCCATCCACCCCGTTTCCCCCAGCGCGGCCTGGGCCACCGCATATCATATATTCATAAGCGACGATGCTACGCCAAAATATGGGGGCTATCCCGAAGGACTGGATGCACTTTAGAGACTTTCTGTGTTCTCTGAAATTCATCAGAACGGAGGAAATCAAAATGAGAGGGTGTCTACATCCCATGCGACGCCATAGAGAGTGATTATGTCGTCAGAAAATGGCTTTCAACTCACACACCCCTACCCTTGGCGGCATGTGGGAGTGCAACATTCGCAGGGCTCCAATCGAAGGGTACCTTGGCGAGGCCTGGACGATCCGAAGCCACGCTTCTTGGCGACGCGGCCAAGCTTTACTTCCAAGAGGGGGATAGCATCATCGTGGGACTCTTGTCAGTTTTTTGATTTCTTGGGGACTTTTGTTCCGCCGCATATAAGGTTCCGCGGTCCCGGACGTGCCCTTACACTCAATATGCCTCGTTCGTATCGTCCCGTCTCCCAGCCCAGGTCAGAAACCTTATTAGTCGACTCACTCACCTCCCCTTTTGTGGTGTCTTCTACTCCATTGATCCTTCTTCACCAGCTCCTATCTTTCCGTTGCTGAGCATTGCCTGTCACATCCGGGAAGACTTGTTCGGATCGATCTTCTGGGAGCACCACATACGGCAGCTTGTCGTTTCTGGACGTGCCTTTCGCCATGTCCAGCAAGGTCGGACGAACCTTGGCCAAGGGCCTCGGCATCGACGTCGATGCCCGGTACCGCAACGAGCCTACCGAGGCCGTTCAGTCCGCCGCCGCTTCGTTCTGCTCCGTTGAGCAGTATGAGGAGAGAGAACCTACCGTCGCCGAGTTCCTGAACGACCACCGACCCACGGTTCACGGCGCCGTGAACTACATCAGGAGCTTGTTCCCATTCTGGTCCTGGATCTTCCACTACAATGCTACCTGGCTTTTGGGAGACATCATTGCTGGTATGTCTTTCATGTATCGACATGGGATTTTACGCAGAGAACACCGAGTGATACGAGATCCATGTTCTTGCTTGATACGCCCATAGTAGTATGAACCTCAGTAGCTGACTAGAATTCTCGTAAAGGTGTCACCGTCGGTTTCGTCGTCATCCCTCAAGGTATGGCTTACGCCCTTCTCGCTCAATTGACCCCCGAATACGGTCTCTACACATCCTTCGTCGGCTTCATTCTCTACTGGGCTTTTGCAACCTCAAAAGATATCACGATTGGAACCGTCGCCGTCATGTCCCAACTCGTCGGTAACATCGTCCTCCGTGTAAAGGACTCACACCCACAATACGACGGCCCTCAAATCGCCCAAGCCTTGGCCGTCATCTCCGGCGCCGTCCTCTTGTTCATCGGTCTCGTCCGCCTGGGCTGGATCGTCGAGTTCATCCCGCTCGTGGCAATCACCTCCTTTATGACCGGCGCTGCGATCAGCATCGCCGCGGGTCAAGTCCCCGCCCTCCTCGGTCTGCAGGGCGTCAACACGCGCAACCCGACGTACGAGGTGATCATAGACTTCTTGAAGGCGCTGCCTACCGCTAGACTGGACGCCGCCATGGGTCTCACGGCGCTGTTCTTGCTGTACTCTATCCGCTCGTTCTGCAACTTCATGTCAAACAAGCAGCCCCACCGCAAGAAGTTCTGGTTCTTCATGTCGACGCTACGCATGGCGTTCGTCATTCTCCTGTACGTCCTTATCAGCTGGCTCGTCAACCGCCACGTCAACTGGGACGCCAAGAAGGCCAAGTTCAAGATTCTAGGCAAGGTTCCCAGTGGTTTCCAGCACACCGGCGCTCCCAAAATCGACACGGAGCTTCTGGGTGCCGTTGCCCCTGACTTGCCAGTGACTATCATCGTGCTCATCATCGAGCACATTGCCATCTCAAAGTCTTTTGGAAGAGTCAACAACTACGTCATCAACCCTTCGCAGGAGCTCGTCGCCGTCGGATTCACGAACCTCTTCGGACCCTTCCTCGGCGCCTACCCGGCCACCGGATCCTTCTCCCGTACAGCCATCAAGTCCAAAGCCGGCGTTCGCACGCCCCTCGCCGGTATCTTCACCGCCGTCATCGTGCTCCTGGCCCTGTACGCCCTGACCTCCGTCTTCTTCTACATCCCCATGGCTACCCTCGCCGGCCTCATCATCCACGCCGTCGGTGACCTCATCACGCCGCCAAAGGTGGTGTACCAGTTCTGGGAGGTCTCGCCACTCGAAGTCTTCATTTTCTTCGCCGGCGTTCTCCTTACCATCTTCACCAACATTGAGAACGGCATCTACCTGACCATGTGCGCCTCCGCCGCCCTCCTGCTGGTGCGCCTCGCAAAGGCAAAGGGACACTTCCTCGGTCGGGTCAAGGTCTACCGCGCCACAAAGGACACCGCCGGCAAGGGCGTCCCGTTCAACGAGAGGGGTGAGGCTATTGACGTTCCCTCCCGCGAGAGCTACATCCCTCTGGAGAAGGATGACGGCTCAAACCCTAGCATCGATGTGCAGACCCCGTACCCTGGTGTCTTTGTTTACCGGTTTGGCGAGGGCTTCAACTACACCAACCAGGCGCATTACATGGACGCCCTGGTCGCTTACGTGCAGAAGAACGCCCGACGGACAATCCTCGATCGCTATGAGAAGCTCGGTGTAAATTCACACACCTACCATAATTCCCTTGACCTCTAGTACTGATCATCTATCGATAGGACCGTCCCTGGAACGACCCCGGCCCTCGCCGCGGCGCCAAGATCGACCTCGACGACACCCGCCCCATTGTCCGCGCCGTAATTCTAGACTGCTCCGCCGTCAACAACATCGACGTGACCTCCATTCAAGGCCTCATTGACGTCCGCAACGCACTAGACCACTACGCCGAGCCCGAAGTCGTCGAGTGGCACTTTGCCAACGTCAACAACCGCTGGACCCGCCGCGCCCTCGCCGCCGCCGGCTTCGGGTTCCCCTCCGTCAAAGACGAGGGCAACTTTGGTCGGTGGAAGCCCATCTACAGCTTCGCGCCCGTGGACTCTGGATCAGGCCACGAGCCGCGGGTTACCTCGCAGCGCAGCCGGGATGACGAGGAGGATGTCATCTCTCCGACGAGCAAGGGTCAAGACGGCGCTGCAAGGGTTGTCGGGCGCGGTGATGGCAAGCTTGCTGCTGTGCAGGGTATGAATCGGCCATTCTTCCACATTGATGTTGCTGCTGCTGTGGAGAGTGCGATTCTGAACGCGGAGAGCAAGGGTGATGGGCAGAGATCGTCTGCTGAGTCGGTCCTCAAGAGCGGTTAGAGTTTATCAGATGTTTTTGGTATGCACATCTACGATGATGCTTGATGAGGTGTAGTAATTTGTTGTTCAAAGATTACATGTATCCCATCGAGTGCTGACTGACGCCATTTTTGCCAAGCCCCAAAATCCCCACTATTTACACTTTATTACCCCGCATTTAAAGGGGAACATTGACGATACAACATTTACCACTATGCTCTTTTACCTGTTATCACTACTATTACTAGCATTTCAATTGATGCTGCAATGTCTTCTAGTGATTCTGATACCTCTATTGCTTCCAATACCTCTATTGCTTCCAATACCTCTATTGCTTCTAAAACTTCTGTTACTTCTGTACTCAGCACTATAGTAGTTGAGGTCTACCCAGAAGACCTAGCTGCTGCTTGTAATACAGCTTGTAAGCCAGACGGCTGTGACGAAGCCACAGTCCGGCCCTGTGAACCTCCGGCTACCGAGCATGGCCCTCCGGGCTCCTTCCGGCCCTTGAAGTACCAGCCCGGGCCCAAGAGGTCCGGGGGCTGCCGGCAAGCCCGCTGGAACTATTCCTCCAATACGTTCCGCAAGACCTCGTGGAGCAGTGGGCCCAGTGGACGAATACAGCACCGCCGTCGTCTAAAGAGGGCCCCTGGCTTAGAACGTCTAGAGTGTATAAGTGGCGGGAGACCTCAATAGAAGAGATCTACCTCTTCCTAGGGATCTTATTATATATAGGGATCCATAGGGAATCTAGATTATCAACCTACTGGTCAACCCAACAGCAGAGGGAGGATCCCATCCACCTATTTACGCGGTTTATATCCCGGGACCGTTTCCAACTACTGTTCCGGCGACTGCGGATATTCAATACTGCGGAATTCCAGCCCAGCCAGCCCGACGAGCCCGTCCAGCCCGTCCAGCGCGGGGGCCAGGGCCGGGGCCGGGGCCGGGCGCAGGCCAGCCAGGCCCAGCCGAGCCAGCCGAGCCAGCCGGTCCAGCCCAGCCAACGAGGGGGCCGGGGCCGGGGACGGGGATGGGGACGGGGCCAGGCCCGGGATCGAATGCCCGAAGTATACCAAAAGGTTAACCAGTGGTCAGCCCATATCCAAAAGACTGGGGATTCCTTTTATACAACTGGTTCAGATCTTACAGTTGACGAGGCTATGGTCCGATTTGAGGGTCGGTCTCTTGAGACAACGACGATTAAAACGAAACCCATCCCAACTGGGTATAAGATCTGGACCCTTGCCCAGTCTGGCTACTGTATACGGTGGCTGTGGCACGTACACGGAAAGGGCCCATACGCATTGGTTCCCCAGGCACAGCCCGCCCAGCCCAGCCAGCCCGCCGGGCCAGCCGGGCCAGCTGCTGGAAAGCTGGCCCAGTTGACACCAACACAGCAGGTAGTAACTACCCTTATTTCCCTACTTCCAGCTGCAACCTACCACGTCTTCTTAGACGACCTCTTCTCCTCTGTACGTCTCTTTAGTACCCTACGGAAACAACAGGTTGGTGCTTCTGGTACCTGCCGGAAGGATAGTGGGATAGATGAGATTCTAGTTGATGAGAGAGAGACTGAAGGACGGGATATCCCCTGGGGCAAAATACACTGTATCCCTACGTTAGATGGGGAGGTAAGCTACTAGCCAGCCTAGCCCAGTATATCCAGCCCAGCACATCCAGCCCAGCCTAGTTAACTAGTGAATAGGTCAACCAGTTCACCTGGAAGGATAATGCCCTCGTACTATTCCTGTCAACTATCTTCCAGAGCAGCCAGGAGGTTATTCGAAGCCGCCGTCGCCCAGCTGGGGATACTGCTGCTAAAAAGGCTGCCCGGCAAGTGTTTGGCCCAGACGTCCGCAAGGACCTTCCAGTCCCTAGGGCAATCGATGAATACAACCACAAGATGAATGGGGTTGATGTGAGTGACCAGATGAGGTCTTATTATCAATACGGTCACCCTATTCGGCGAGGGGGCTGGCAATCCCTAGCCTGGAATTTCCTGCTGGAAGTAGTAGTTGTGAATAGCTTCTTATTACAGCTCTGGGGTAGCCCTAGGTGGCAGCAGGTGGAATCCAACTATCAATGGCGGCAGTTACTAGCAGCCCAGCTTATTCAACGGTTTGGACCATTAGCAGGCGGGCGTAGACTATCACGACCTAGACGTACAGACATGAGGAATACCTCTATTCCATGGGAACAGCATACAAAAGGGTCACGGAAGGTTAATTCGCCTTGCTCTTATTGTAGTAATCTGAGGGCAATAAGAAACCGCCAGACTCTAGGCGAGATATCTGGGAATACCCTCACGCGGCGTAAATATACGAGGAAGGGCTGCTTAGCCTGTAACGTACCTTTATGTACCCAGGGGAATTGTCGGTACCTCTGGCATACGCAGAATATGTAGGCAATAGAGGTACTGTAACCCTATTGGTTAACCCTATAGATTTCCAACCCCTAATTGGCTCTACCCCGCCCTTGGCAAAAATGGCGTCAGTCAGCACTCGATGGGATAGATCCAGATACCAAGTTGTGTTGTTGCATATGCCGCTCTATGGGTTAGGCAGAGGCCTTGCGTACATCTTCTAATTCAATCTTTTCATCATTCACATCGGATGAATTTCTCAATCGAGGTCTACAAGACTTATGAAGCCTTCAAAGCCGTGTCTCAGCATTGTATCCGTGCGGATTGGGGTAAGGAGGTGGTCTGAAACGCGGCTGATGCATCTTGGCGTTCTGCCTTCGCCGTCGTCTCATCAGCGTGCGCCAACTTTGATGGGACAAATTCCGAGCGCAAGGTCAGTTTTTAGTCTCTACAACTTCAAAGATCCTTCTTGAAGAAAATCACATCAAAAACATGCGAATATCATCAAACCCCATCATACGAGCCGCCCTCGTGGCAGCATGGCTCGCCTCAACAGCCCTCGCGATGCCTCAAGTGGTCGACCGCGAAGACCCCCCACCATCCCCACCAGCACCGCCGAAACCTATCGCGACGGCCGACCAAGTCGACATAACCCAACCAAACACCACCGCCCCTCCACCACAAAAACAAAAGCCGCCCGTTCCAATCATGGTCCGGCTGTTCCCCAGCTCACCTGGCGTCAAGAACTGCCGCGGCGCGTCCTTTGTAGACATGGAGCTTCCGCAAAACGCGTCGACGGAGCCGACATTCACGACCAAGGATGGGCAGTGCTACAACCTACCGGGCACGGCGCAGTGCGGCATCTTCATGGGAAACAAGGCCGATGGGTGCGAGGCCAAGTTGTTTCGCGGGGAGCGGTGCAGCGCGTTTTCCAACGTTGCTGTTTTTCAGGACGAGCTGCGACCTGTGGGCGGCTTCTTTGCAAGTATGAGCATCAAGTGCGGTGTCGTGCCTGTCGAGCCAAAGCCGTTGAGCCTGGGAGGGTTGGGCGGCAAGATGCAGAAGCCCGTTCAGGGGAAGGGGAAGAGGGCTAGGAGGGCGGTTGTGTCTGCGATACTCGACAATGACTAGATTGAGCCGGAACGCGGCAGGAAGGAAACATTGAGAGCTTTGCTTGATAGGCGTTGGGAACCTGGGATTTGGAGCGAGACTACGCCCCCGGTCCAAGGCACCGGGAGGCGACGGGAATTGCGGCACGTAGACGCCGGCAGTGGAAGGATGGCATTAGCCGTTGACGAATAATGATTATGACACTTGACGACCACATGAGACTTTCTCTTTTAGTGAGGCAGTCCGATTAGCTGTGGCCCTAGCCACCCCAGTAACCTGCCAAAGCCAAGTTCCAATCAGTCTGTCGTTCTGGGTCTCATGACGTGGAACGTTAGACAAACAGTACCTGGTAGACGAACGTGGTCGGTTTCTCGGCTCATCAGGCCTAATTCACGTCTGACCGGCTCGATGCCTCGGGCTCATCATGCTTGTGGCGACCAAAAACAACGACCGTCGTGCCAGAGGGAGGATCAAACAGGAGGGGGCCACAGCCGGACCACATCGTCCACAATCTTTTGTTGTGGTTGATTGGTCTGTGCTTAGGGAGGAGAATTGTGAGACACCCTGCTTGGTGATCATGGACTTTGAATCTGGCCCCGTTTGCTGAGCTTATTCTCAATGGTCGTATTGCAGATTGGAGACTATGGAAACTCTCTTCTCTCGATCTCAAGTTTGGCATCAGGAAAAGAATTCGCCGAAGGATCCAACGGCTTTAAACGTGCTCATTCATACGAAGAAATAAGCTAGCCGCGGCGTCCCAAGTCTCTGGCGTGGCTTTCACCCAAGACACCAGACCGTCTGATCTGAGATCCCAAATGTGTCATCTCGTCTCAGACGCTCCAGCCCCTTGCACTGACAAGAACACCCTCCTACCCAGTGTCCCCCCTTCCTCCTACCCTCCATGTCAATTATGGCACATATAACGACACAGACTTCCTGGATCCCTCTTTTTTCAATTGCCTGCTGCCACTCTTCCCTCGTTTTTGAACGAGTCATCCTTCTTTTCTCTCCTCTTTCCTTTTGGGGTTATATTCTTTCATTTCTCAGTGGCCGGCCACTTTTAAACTTTTGGGTTGTCATTGAACTTTATCGGCTGGTTCCTGTCGTAGTCCTTTCAGTCAACTTGAAGCTCTCTTGCGACCTACCTTGTCTACCTTTCATAATACAACACCATCCATTTCCCCATATCACCTTTCGTTTAAGCTCTACATCAAAGCGAAAAGTGTCACCGAAAGCCAAGATGCAGCACTCAATCTTCACCAACCTCTTCCTGGCGGTCTCCCTCATGAGCACCGCCGCCTTTGGCAAAGCCATCGAGGTCCCGGCCCCGGGCCCCGCCATCGTCGTCCGCCAGACGGCCCCCACGACGCCTGCCCAGTCGACCATCATGTCATGCGCCGATTACTCCCGCATCGCCAACCTTTCCACCGTCGGCGCGAACAGCACCTACCGCGCCACCTTTTTCGAGGCCTCGCCCAACGGAAACCAGTTCAACGCCGAGGTCCTCGACACTGCCATCCTCAAGCTGCCGACCGTCATCATGGACCGCGCGCTGAACGAGGCGTGCGGGAACCTGACGGCGCTGGCGATCCAGGAGGCTGCGAACAACTTCTCAATCCGCACCGTGTTGCAGTTTTCGAACATCCCGCCTGCTGAGCCGCTTGATACCTCTACGCACATTATCTTTGTCTGTGCGGGTGCGTTGTTCTTCATGGGTGGAATTTGGATTTCTATGCCGTGAGTGGAGTTATCTTGAAATGGTGTTGGGGACGAGGAGGGAGTCGATGGGAGAGATGGGGCAAGAAGAGGTACAGGGAGGAGAGGACCAGATGTTCAAATCACCCGGATTCTACAGACCTAATGCATCCTTCCTGAACCCACCCTTGAATGCGGATTTACCTTGAGTCGGAATGGGACTTTGAAATACTACGTATGCTTAGCGCGGTGTTGAACATGAATGAGATAACGATACCCAATTAAAGTCACTTACATTACTTTGGTCGCTGTACTGGCAATTCATTTGAAACTCTTTTCCGATCATTTTCCTGCGCTTTTCATCACGCTTGACCTGCCACGGCCTACCTCGTCTCGAAAGTCACATGCAGCGTTCCTAAAAGTTCGAGGTCTCGTTACCCAATTTTTCTTGGAAATTGTCTGTACATGTACCCGAAAACTGTTGGCAAGAAGAACATTGGCTAATATCAAGCGGAATACGGAACGATCCATCTCGCCCTGCTCCCCGAGCGCAGGAAATGCACAATATCGTTGAACGGGTCTTTCAAGATCCGACGGCTTGCATACTAGATTTACATACTTTGTTTATGTAGTATCTTTCGCCCATTTACTCTGAAAACTCACTATGAATCACCATGGCTCAGTGTAGTGGCCGACTCTCATTGGCCGGTAAAGAACTAGTAGATCGGCTTGGACCCTGAATAGGCAGGCACGTGCCTCTATCGCTCCTGCCAGTTCAAGGAATTTGATGCCTCGAGTACGTATATATCGAGCTCTTTCTCGTTCTACCTTTGGCATTCTTCTTCTTTCCACTTCCAACTCTGCATACGAATGACAACCACGACGTCTGGAAAATGTCAGAATCAAACCACGCCATCGTCTTCGGTGCCTCGGGCCTCCTCGGCTGGGCCACAGTCGAGCAGCTGCTCTCGAACTACCCTTCCAAGGACTCCTTTGAAAAGGTCACCGCTGTCATGAACCGCCCGATGTCAAAATCCGACTCGTTCTGGCCGACAGACTCAGCAAGCAGACCTAGGCTGCAAATTGCATCTGGTGTCAATTTGACTGGATCTTTGGAGGATCTCACTTCACAGCTTGAGGGCAAAGTCCATGGAATCAAGGGCGTCACCCATGTTTTCTATTTTGGTGAGAATTGTTGCTAGTCTTGAGCCTTGCTTCATGAGAGGACGCGGCTAATCTTTTATCATCATTGCAGTCTTCAACCAGGGCGATGGGGATGATGTCGCCGAGTGCGAGATGAACTGTGACATGATGCAGACGGTCGTAGACGCGGTTACCTCATTGTCGACAAGCCTCCAAGCATTCGTATACTCTGGCGGAACGAGAGTAGGTGCTTTACATCTCTAATCATAGCAAGATATCGAGCTAATAGCCATGACACAGGGATACGGCATTTACACGCCGGGCGGAACCTTCACGCCCCCCTTGGAGGAATCAATGGCCGACCACCTCCCCGAGGACTACGCAAAGACCGTCACCTACCCCTGGTGGCGCAAGATTCTCGCAAAGGCAAGCGAAGGCAAGCCGTGGACCTGGTCGGAAGTTTGCCCGGACGCCGTCGTCGGCTTTTCGCCAAACGGCTCTGGTTTCTCGCTGGCACTTCACTGGGCGCAGTACCTCTCCCTTTACGCTTACAACCACGGAGTGAACAAGAAGTCCAATGTGACCATAGAGGTTCCGTTCCCCGGAAACCAGGAGGGATACAAGAGCCTTTGCACACCTGTCTCTTCTCGGACTCTCGGGCGCATTGCTATCCACGCATCACTCCATGGTGACGAGTGCGGCGGAAAGGTCATCAACATGGCCGATAGAGAGCAGCCTACCAGATTTAGTGACCTATGGCCGTCGCTCGCTGGTTGGTTCGAATTGGTAGGCGTTGGACCGAAGGAGAACGACAATGCAGAGAAGCCTGGAGAATACGTCAAGAAGTACAAGCAGATCTTTGAAGAAAAGGGATGCGGAAGGGCCGTCATTGCTGGCGTCGGAGGTGGCAGCGTCCAGCTTGACAGTGTCGGCTACTGGCTGTCCTTCGACCGACAGCTTAGCTTGCAGAGATTGAGGTCAGTTGGATTCACCGAAGAGAGAGATCCTGTCGAGGGCTGGTTGGAGGCGTTTGAGAAGTTTAAAGAAGCGAAGATTATCTTGTAATTGTGTGGACATGAACGATAAAGAAAGAACTTCTCCTCACAGCAATGGAGTTGAAGAAGCCAATTATGTAGTCTGAAATCCTCAAGAAGACTGTAATTCACTCCCTCGCAACTTCACGGCTTTCCTCTGAGTGTCAATGTGGAGTTGCTCTTCATCCCATTGCGGATATTGTCGTACTGAGAACTCGGGTACGAGAGCAAGTTTTGCGATTGTTCAAGCTTGCCCATCCCTTTCGCCATACTACGAACGAGATTCTCGTCACCCGCCTTGTCGCCTGTAGCCTCCCAGAACATGGCGCCGCCTAGCTTCTTCCTTTTGATATAAGCCTGCTTATACTTTGCGCTCCTCATATCGTCAAAGGTCACCAACTCTCGCGTGACGTTATTGTAGGAATACGTGGCCTTGACCGCACTATCCCAACGTACTGTCACACCGGGCTGGGGGAGGTCTTTGTAGAGATAGATTCCGGCTTGGCCGAGCGTGCCATTCGGTAGCCCGCTGTACGATTTCCCAAGCCCCTTGGTGTTGCTGAATGCACGGCCGTAGAGGGGCATGCCGAGGTTCATGTTCGCTGGAGAAATCCCTCCTTCTCCGACGTAGTCCTCGAAAGCCCTCTCGACGCTCGCCCTAGTGCTCTGCGGGTTCCGCTTGCTGCGAAATACGTTGGACTGGTGACCTGTAGTGTTCTCCCAGGCACCAGCAAAGTCGAACGCCATGAGTGACCAGAAATCTAGCGACTTGTCCATCGCTTGAAAGTCAAATGCCTTGTAGTTCTGGGGTCCCGCAGGAGCAGGAAAGCCTAGAGTGAAATGGTGTCCGCCTGCGTTCTTTGCTGAAAAGTCGTCCAGTCCCAAGCGAAGTTCGGACAGGAGCTTTACGCACTTTTGGTTCTTTTCAGTGGTGTTGGGGTTACCCCACTCGTAGTCGATGTCGATGCCGTCCATACCAAAGTCGGCCATGAGTTTAATAGCGGAGGAGACAAATGTTGCGCGGCGAAACTTGTCTGCAGCGACGGGGTCGAATTTAGGCGACCAATTGTAGCCGCCAATGGACAGAATGACTTTCATGTTTCGATTGGTCATCTTCTTTAGGTAGAGCTGTTTGACGAGGCCGTGGGCGTTGTGACCAGGGCCAGTGGTGCTTTCGTTGCCAAAGGGCTTGCCAGTGTCGGCCCAAGGATCTGACGAGACGCTCAATCGGGACGCGAATCAGTTTTATTATCAACTTATATTCTAGCATGATGCATGACTTACACAGTTCCATTTGGCTTGATGTCTGCGAAAGCATACAACACATGCGTGATGTCTTTCACGGGAAGGTTGTTGGGGTTGTAGCCCGCTCCATAGATCCCCCAATTAGTTACGTACAAGAGATTCCGATGACCTTGCTTTACGGTAGAGTTCTTCCCGCAAGGACGGCCGGTCAATGGGCTAGCGATTGCGTGTGCTACAGCAAGAGCTGTCACAAGAACTTGGAGCATCATCGTGGCGCGATCATGGAGTCGACGACGCGACTTGATTAATCCAGCTAGCAAATGCTGGTGCATTGGCAGATGATTTGGATTCCCAGTCCCTTTCCGGGCTCTTTATGGACGATACAGAGGAACCTTGGAGACATGGCTGCCAAGAGATGGCAGCTTTCGAAGTTGAGACGACGCGTCGTTCATCTCCCCAAGCTTCTGGCAGCAGGGAACAGCTTCCTTAGAAAGCTTGCTCGCGTACCATTGATCCCCCCACCTCTGGGCTAATGCTGTGGGATGCATTCCTGGCTTTGTGGTTTGGGGGTTGAGCAGCTGAATTTTGTTGCTTTCAACCAAGTCCGTGGCAGGGCCGACGAACCCTCAGAAAGTTAACATGGACCAATTGGATGCTTCCATGGCACAACATTGGCTCGTGGCTGAACGGCTAGTCGAAGCTTCTTTCCATTCTTGGCTCCGTTTGCTTCCCCAGAAGGCAACGGAGAATAGGGATATCCATCGTCGTAGTGTTTCAGCTCCTCAAAGCTTGTTCGCCTCTTCGAAGATTGACGGGAATCATCGGCTTCTCGTCCAGCGACCATGAATGCCCCTCAAGTATTGGCCCGACTCTGAGTTAAGATTCCAGGATGTGGATTCCATATATTGATGCCTCTACTTCTCCTATGAGGAAGACTTTCGATGGAATTTGCAATGTGGTGGGATCTCTGGATGAAGATGAAAGTGCTAGCCAGCCTTAGAATCAATATCCCATCGGGTGCTAACTCACCTCATTTTGCCAAGAGGTGGGGTAGAGCCAATAGGAACTTCCCAGCCTATTAGACTTATCCAATGATTCAACAGGATTTCCAGTACTTCTATTCTCTATATATTTTGTGTATGCCAGAGGTACCAGCAGTCTCCCTTCATACATAAAGGTACATTATAGTCTAAACAGCCCTGCCGAGTTTTTCTTACTTGCTGCGTGAGGTTATTCCTAGATATCTCGCCCAGAGCCTGGCGGGCTCTTAATGACCCCCTATTACTACAATAAGAGCAAGGCGAGCATACCCCCCTTGACCCCCTACGATGCTGCTCCCATGGAATAGAGGTATTCCTCTCGTCTGTAGCCCGTCTAGGTCGTGAAAGTCGTCGTCCGCCTGCCAATGGTCCAAACCGTTGAATAAGCTGAGCTGCAAGCATCTTCCGCCATTGGTGATGAGTTTTTACCTTCTTCCAACTCGGGCTGCCCCAGAGCTGTAGTAGGAAGCTATTCACAACTACCACTTCTAGCAGGAAATTCCAGGCAATTGATTGCCAGCCCCCTCGGCGAATAGGGTGGTTGTATTGATAATAGGACCTCATCTGGTCACTCACATCAACCCATTCATCTTGTGATTGTACTCATCGATTGCCCTAGGAACTGGAAGGTCCTTACGGACGTCTGGGCCAAACACTTGCCGGGCAGCCTTCTTAGCAGCGGTATCCCCAGCTGGGCGGCGGCGGCTGCGAATAACTTCCTGGCCATTCTGTAAGACAGTTGACAGGAATAGTACGAGGGCATTATCCTTCCAGGTGAATTGGTTGACCTATTTCCTAGTTAGCTGGGTAGGGTAGGGCTGGGCGGGCTAGCAGCTTACCTCCCTATCTAAAGTCGGGATATAGTGTATTTCCCCCTAGGGGATACCCCGTCCTTTAGTCTCTTTCTCAATAACTAGGATCTTATCTATCCCACTATCCTTCCGGCAGGTACCAGAAGCTCCAACCTGTTGTTTCCGTAGGGTACGAAAGAGACGTACAGAGGCGAAGAGATTGTCAAGAAATACGTGGTAGGTTGCAGCTGGAAGTAGGGAAATAAGGGTAGTTACTACCTGCTGCGTTGGTGTTAACAGAGCCAGCTTTCCAGTAGCTGGCCTAGCTGGCCGGGCCTGGGGGACTAATGCGTATGGGCCCTTTCCATGGACGTGCCACAGCCACCGTATACAGTAGCCAGACTGGGCAAGGATCCAGATCTTATAGCCAGTTGGGATAGGTTTCGTTGGAATCGTTGTCGTCTCAAGAGATCGACCTGTAAATCGGACCATAGCCTCGTCAACTGTAAGGTCTGAACCAGGTATATAAAGGGAATCCCCAGTCTCTTGGATGTGGGCTGACCACTGGTTAACTTTACGGTATACATCTGGCATTTGATCCTGGGCCCGGCCCTGGCCCCGGCCCCGGCCCCAGCTAGGCTGGCTGGGCCGGCTGGGCTGGAATTCCGCAGTGTTGAATATCCGTAGTCGCTGGAGTAGCAGTTGGAAACGGTCCCGGGACATAAACCGTGTAAATAGGTGGATAGGATCCTCCGTTTGCTGCTGGGTTGACCAATAGGTTGATAATCTAGACTCCCTATGAATCCCTATATAAAATAGGATCCCTAGGAAGAGGTATATCTCGTCTGCTGAAGTCTGCCGCCATGAATTCGCTCTAGACGTTCTAGCTCTAGGGCCCTCCTTAGACAACGGCGCTGTATTCGTCCACTGGGCCCACTGCTCCACGAGGCTCTGCGGGACGTATTGGAGGAACAGTTCAAGCGGGCTTGCCGGCAGCCCCCGTATCTCTTGGGCCCGGGCCGGCACGTCAAAAGCCGGAAGGAGCCCGGAGGACCATGCTGAGTAGCCGGAGGTTCGTGGGGCCGGACTGTAGCTGCGTCACAGCGCTCGGGCGTACAGTCTGTATTACAGGCAGCAGTAAGGTCTTCTGGGTGGACCTCAACTACTATACAGCTGCGTATAGAAGTAATAGAAGCATTAGATGCAATAGAGGTATCAGAATCACCAGAAGACATAACAATATCAATCAAAATAGTAATAATAGTGATGATAATGGGCAAAAGAGCATAGGAATGAGTGACGTATCGTCAAGTACCCCTTTAAATGCGGGGTAATAAAGTGTAAATAGTGGGTACTTGGAGGTCTTGGCAAAATGAGGTGAGTTAGCACCCGATGGGATAACTAGTTGCTTGGATAGTCCAACTCACTTGTAAACGAGGGCGGATGTAACCTCGGAAGACAACGTTGAGAGACAGATCCCAGCATTATGCGGGGAAGCGGGGTCGTGTCCGAGTCTTCAATCATCTCCAACTGCTTTCTAAGCTGCCGCGGGGGGAAGCCATTTGATCTCAACCCTTGACTGTGGACGGCGTTGGCCCCCTGTTCTTTTCTCCACACAAGTGCCGACCACGCAGTCGACTCGCGCGGGCCATTGCGTGTTTTGGAGCCGAAATTCTCCTCTTTTCACCCTCCTCACGGCCGACGACTTCAACTACGCAAGCGAGATTTGAGTGCGAGATTCTACAGCCAGCCTCATTTGGAGGCTCGAGGTTTCAGCCATGGCGAAGAGAACCTGGTCTGATGTCAATGATAACATGAAGTTTATGACGGTAGGATTGACGGTCCTTCTTTGGGGTTTACAGACCACACACTGATACTTACTGTATTGCAGTTGATGACGGCCGGAAACGGAGAGCAGTCTTTTCCGCAAATATCCCGGAAAATTAAGGCATGTGCCGCCTGTCGAAAACACAAGGGGCATAGACGATCATGAGATTGAACATGAAGTGATGAAAGAGTCTCAATTCTGACCTAGCTTAAAGATCAAATGTCTAATGGATGAGAGTGGACCATCATGTCTGCGATGTTCTGAAGGAAATCTGGGCTGTGTGCTGGGCAAGAATTTGCAGAGCATCATCGACGAGAAGACACAGTGAGATCCATGGCTTGAAGCAAAACGAAGCATTGAGTCGACTAACCATCTTGAGGTACAGCGAGGCGGTCTTACAAGACATCGAAAACCTGCACAACACTCTGAGAGAAGTCACCAAGAAGATGGGCCTACCAGAGCCAGCGGCACTACAGAGTTCAACTCTTCAAAAAGCAGCCGAGTCCCCGTCACAGCAGAGCCACTCCGGCCCCGGGCTGACTACCAACGCAGCCCGCTTTGGCGTTGCCGGGCAAGATAACCATGGTCCCTCGTGCGACAACTCACCCAAGATATCCCCTGAAGACGAAAACCTCCCCCACGTTCCGATCCATTCACTCTACGCTCTCACAAAGCTGAGAGCGCTCAGGTCACCAGACGCCCCGGAAGGCCATTCGAGTCCAGCCCAAGACGACTTCATTGCCCGAGGTGCCCTACGCCTAGAAGATGCCGAACGCCTTTTTCGACTCTATCGAGACCGTTTAGATGCTTTCATGTACGGCGTGGGATGCAAGTACCAACAACTAGATGAGTTGCGCCGCAAGAGCCCCATCTTAGCTGCAGCGACCCTGACTGTTGCCTCGCTTCACGACCCTCAGTCAAATAGTCTCTACGGTGTCTGCAGCTCGGAATTTCGGCGGCTCAATGAGAGGTCCATGTTCGATCGGCGGGTGAATCGTGACTATCTCCGCGCCATGTGCGTGGCGTCGTACTGGCTCTCCGATATGTCGTGGATGCTGTCCGGGTACGCGATACGGAGGGCGGCGGAGTGTAACCTGCACAACAGCTATACTCGCGCCATACAAGAGAAGAGCGAGGAAGCTGCTGATGGTGCACGGTTATGGTACATATTGAACATTTGCGATCAACACCTTGCCACGTTGTATGGGAGGCCGGCGATTGTGCAGGAGGACTCGTCCATGCAGCAATGGGAAAGCTTCCTTCAATCACCAATATCGACTGAGGAAGACAAGCGCCTCGCATGTCAGGTTGCATTGTTGGGAATAATTGGCAGCATTCGAGAGCTCTTCGGGCCTGACAAGGGTCAACCGACACCGCGAGCCTTTGTTCACCAAATCACCCACTTCAATAAGGAGCTCGATCACTGGATCAAACATTGGTCTGAGACGCTATCAGGTGCGTCGGTCCTTCACTCGATCTGCTGACGATACCTGTACTAAGCCAAGCATAGAACAATATCAACACATAGGCCGCTTCCCTCGCAAAGGCGCTCTCCTCCATTTTCACTTCGCCAAGCTTCACCTCTACTCCCATATCTTCCGAGGCCTCTCAGGAGACAGTCCAATACCGCACCACTTTCTCGACTGTGCTGCGACAGCAATCTCGGTAGCCACGTCAACCATCGACTTCATCAACACCGACCCGGATGTCGCCGCAGGGGTAGTCGGCATGCCGTCCTACCTGCATTGCATGACAGCCTTTGCCTGCATGTTCCTGCCGGCGTGGTGTAGTGGCATACACCTGGCAAGGCCTCTGGAGCCCAGAGGTCGCTGGTTCGATTCCAGCCGCCGGCAACTGCTTTAACTACCTGTGGGAAGGGTAGGGCAGAGCCCAACGCGGGGCCTAGGACCCTTTCCGGGCCCTCGCCAGGGTTTTCTCATATCCACACCCTCCGACCAAGAAAAAGTGGATATGCGGCGAGTACACGTCGTTAACCTAGTACTGGGGCAGGAATGGTCTTGTACAAATCAGAACATGTACGAGGGGCCTGTTTCGGCAGGCCGCCCTCTCCAGACATATCCGGCCTTAAGCCGCAAAATTCAAGAATGGAACTGGGGCACCAGCGGGAACCAGGGACAGATAGAACGCATAGTAGCCATAAGGCACGATTTGGAGGACGATTTGAACTGTATCTAGCAATAGTTATAGGGCGACGGCTCTCCACGCCATATACCCTTCGGGAGGTCGGCCGCAAGGGCGGCTGCGCCCTTGCCGCCACGGCGTTAAATATAACAAACAAACAAACAAAAGCCTGCATGTTCCTCATTAAGGTGGCAGTCAAGTACGGGGGCGACTTGATCGAGCCGGACCGCGTCTGGAATCTGACCACGAGTCTTGTTCAGCACTTCCGATCCCTACCAGCTGGTCGGTGGCATTTAGCGAACCTCATGGCGCCCGGTCTGGAACGCATGGCTAGGACGTTGAAGTCTGGTCGAGGGGAGACATCAGCCCAGGTATTGGAGGCTCAGCCGCTCAACGGGGATCACTCAGAGGTGATTGACCCTCAGCTCGCTGGCAGTAGTGCTGATGGGACTCTGATGGGCCCGGAAGAGGTATTCTTCTTCGACTATGACATGAGTTTCGGCCTGTCCCCGGTGTTCCAATTCGACATGACATCGTTGAATGCAGATGGTACAACACTGACGGGTCAAGACTTCTCGAACGTGGAATATCAGATGGGAAGACCCGGTTCATGAATGGGAGAAAAAACGTTTTAGCTGTTCATTGTTTCTCGAGACTTGTCATTCGTACGCTTGTAATTATCTACATACCCTGAATATTCCTGGGCCGATACTCGCTCTCCAAGTACTCCAGTTCCTCTTCAGTCAACTTAACCTTGAGCGCCCCTATCGTCTCCTTGATTCTCTTCTCAGAACTCAAGCCCACAATCGGCCAACACCCCTGCTGCAGCACCCAAGCAGTCGATACGAGCGCCATACTGACACCCTTTTTCTTCGCGATCTCTTCAACCCGGTTACAATATCCAAATTCGCATCCGCAAACCACGCCTGCGTTTTCTTATCGGTCTGGCTACGCAGCGACGTGCTCTCATCTTTCTCTTTGGCCAGGGGCTTCGCCAGCAGTCCGCGAGCGATTGGCGACCACGGAATGACACCTACGCCGCTCGCGCGGCAGAATGGCAGCATCTCTCGCTCCTCTTCGCGGTAGAGGAGGTTGTAGAATGGTTGCATTGAGACGAACTCTGTCCAGCCGTTGGACCGAGCGATGTATTGCAGGCGGGCGAATTCCCATGTGTACATGGATGAGGCGCCGATGTAGCGGACTTTGCCGGACTGGATGACGTCATGGAGCGCTCGCATAATTTCTTCGGGAGGTGTTTCGCGGTCGAGGCGGTGGATCTGGAGAACATCTATAAAATCTTAGCTTCCGGCACGTTCCTCATGGCTGATACATGGGTTAATCTTACCGATATAATCCGTTCCAAGACGCTCGAGACACTGGTCGATGGCATGGAAGACGCGTTTCCTGCTCAGGCCCATCTGGTTCACAAGCGGACCATCGTTGACACTGGCGGGTCTGGAGTCGTCGTCCGGCACGGGGTTGAAGATCTTGGAGAGGATGACGACTTTTTGGCGCGGGATGTTGAACTTCTTCAGAGCCTTGCCGATGACTACCTCGGACTTTCCATTAGAGTATGTGTCTGCCGTGTCCCAGGTGTTGATGCCGTTATCATATGCTGCCTTGAGGATTTGGAGTCCTTCTTCTTCGTCTAGGACCCATGGTGAGCCCTCCCATTTGGAGGAGCCAAAGGTCATGCATCCGAGGATGATTTTAGAGACCTTGAGGCCTGTGTTGCCGAGTCTACATGATGATTATCAGCATGTGGAAAACTCCCAGAACGCTTATGGCCGTTCACTCTGGTGTAGTGGGGTGAACTTTTCACAAGGTGAGAGTGGTTATGGCTGAAAACAATGTAGTACTAACCTCACGTATTCCATTTTGTTGACCCTAAATTATTGACGGAGAAGTCTATCAATTGAGACTGATTGAGCCTAATTGTACTGGGCAAGTAGCACTCTTCACCAATTCTGATCTGGAACTCATACAGAAGCCTCGAGGTTTTGTTTTGTACCATCACGTCATTCCACCGTGCTCTTCGGCATCACTCCATCGGCTTTTAGCTCTGTCGCCGGGATCCCTAACCATCCTTGTCGCCTCCGACTGCGCGATGCCCCTCTCACGCAGTGCGGGGAAGCTCCCGGGCAGAGATCCACCGGTGGGATGATCGGCATACTCGCCGATGTCCGAAAAAGAAGACCTGCATCGGCGACATGTCCGGCCTCCATATTCTGAAGTCTGAACCTCGCAGATGGCAGCATATCCGTCCCTGAGAACTCGGATATGTTCGGTAACTGTGTAGAGGTATGAGGAGAAACTTCGGCGACGTAGCCATGCAAGCAAGCTGTACCCCTCATGACGGCACAGCGAGATCGGATCAGTTAAAGCCGAGGAGCACGCGATCGCGTCTCTTTTGAGAGGAGACGCGTAAAGACTTCCTCGCTGAAGAGCTTTGTTTTCGCACGAATTTTTCAAAGAGACACATACCGGAACTTGAGCCAAAATGTCAAATGAAGTTCTCGTAACGGGCGCTGCAGGCTTCGTCGGCCAGGCCCTTGTCTCTGCCCTCATCAAATCCGACCCCTCAACAACCCTTACAATCACAGATGTCATCGAACCTCCCATCCCCGACGATGTAGCAGGAGAAAGCAGCAAGATCACCTCCCTGAAAGCCGACCTCACCGACCCGGCAGCGGTTAGCTCCCTGCTCTCGAAGCAGTTCTCTGCCGTCTACCTCCTGCACGGCCTCATGTCCGGCGGGGCGGAAGCGAATCTCGATCTGGGCCTCAAAGTCAACCTCGATTCCGTCCGCGCCGTCCTCGACCATCTCCGCAAGAACTATCCCGGCACCACTGTTGTGTTCACCAGTTCGTGCGCCGTGTACGGCCCGCGCCAGCCCGTTGTCGAGAGCGAGACTGTGCCGAAGCCGCGGACGTCGTACGGGACCGAGAAGCTTATTATCGAGTTGCTTGTGGAGGACTTTTCGCGGCGTGGGCTTATCGACGGTCGCATTGTGCGACTTCCGACAGTCACAGTGCGACCTGGCGCGCCGTCTGCTGCAGCGTCGAGTTTTGCGTCGGGCATCGTTCGCGAGACCCTAAAAGGGATCAAGAATGTGTTGCCTGTCAGCCGCGATCTTGAAGTTTGGGTCTGCAGCCCCGCTACGGTGGTGAAGAACCTTGTTAAGGTCAAGGACGTGCCGAAAGAAAAGTTTGGTGAATCGAGAGTCGTCAACTTACCTGGTATCACCGTCACGGTGCAGGAGATTCTCGATGCGCTGGAAAAGGTTGGTGGCAAAGAATCGCTGGCGCTCATCGAAGAAAAAAAAGATGACGCCATCTTGGCTATTGTAGAGACATGGGCCGCTCGGTTTGATGTGAGCAGAGCGTATAGCTTAGGCTTGGAACCTGATGGTACGATCTTGGAGGCTGTCGAGGCATTCGCGAAGACTCTTAAAGCATGATTTTCTCATGGAGTGACCAGCGCAGACCCTACATAATAGTCATGGAATCGACCAATTTTTCTTCAATTTCACTTTAGATACTGCCTATGTGCGAATCTAACCTTCATATCAGTAGCCTGCGATAGCTCGTGGCTTCGGAGTGAAATACGAGTGGTCTGCCAAGAATGGTCCTAAGCACATCAACAATCCTCAATTTCTTCAACTTTGTGCCACCTTGGGTGTTATTATGCGACCGTAATCATGTGAGTCTGGCTTATTTACATCTTGATCTATGCTAGAGCTTTGATCGTGGCCTTCTCACGAGCCTCTTTTGCCGGGCTCGATCCTCAGAAACCACCAAATGGTCAATATCCAACGTGTTGACCATCGCGGGAGCAGCCTGACTTAGGCTAGTAATGCCACAGAGTCTCATCGAGGTCTCTAACTCGTCTTTCAGAACTATTGTGAGTTAAAGAGTCAGCTTCCACCCTCAAAATATGTCGTGTGAGAAGGGTCCGGAACTTACTCTGAGAAAGGTGCTCTACGCCATCCTTGCCATAAACGAGAGAGTACAAGAACGGTCTCCCAACACCCACAGCCTTTGCTCCAAGGGCGATTGCCTTGAGAATATCCGAGCCGCGCTCGAAACCGCCATCAATATAGACCTCGAGCTTCTCGAATATCTCGGGACATTGTTCTTGGAGTTCTAGCAGAACTAGGATTGAGGGTTGCGACCTTGTATCCAACTTTTGTCAGTTTTCTGGTTCATCACAGGCAAATTCTCAAGCTCCAAAACTTACCCATCCAGAGATCGACCACCGTGGTTGCTCAAGAAGACTGCTTCAACTCCGTACTCAACCGCTAATCTGACATCATCGGCAGTTTGGACACCCTTGAGCACGATGGGCACTCCGCTGGCTTCTCTGATCCAGGTTAGGTCCTCCCATGTAATCGACTTGTCGATATACTGCGCCATCAAGCGTCCCAGTCCACTGCCCTTCTTATCTTTGCTGCTTTCGGCGCCGCTGATGGCGGCTTGGATCGTGCCTGCCTGGGCTGCGCGCTCGTCTGCTTCCCTCTTGCCGGGCACAGGAGCATCGACAGTCACGAAAATTGCTTCGATGCCTATTGCGCGAGCTGATCGGAGGATCTCGATGGTCTTATGTCGTTCTGAGTTGATGTAGAGCTGGAAGAACAAGGGCTGTGTCGGTGGTGCGGCGGATACGATGGACTTTAGGGTGTACGATGCGTTGCTCGAAATCTGAAGGATCATTGTCAGCTCAAACGCTCCTCGACTGAGTTAAAACTAGTTTGAAACTCACACATTGAATTATTCCTTCACTTGCTGCGCCGCGACTGAGAGCCAACTCGCCATCTGGATGCACGAGCTTTGCCATAGCGGCAGGCGAAATGAAGAACGGAGCCGAGCTCTCGTACCCAAGAATATTCGTCTTCATATCAATGTGTGAAATATTTCTGAGAATCCTTGGCCGGATCATAATGCGTCTTGTAAGCTGCTTGTTGTTCCGGTGTGTTATCAGATCGGTGGCGGCAGAAGAGTAGAACACCCATGTCTTCGGCGTCAGTTCTTTCGAAGCTACAACCTCTAGATCTGGGGCGCCGATGATGGACTCTAGGGGTGGAATGGCGTCTTCTTCGGCGGACTTGGTTTCCGCAGTCTCGGCGGGTGCAGTTACTGCACCATTCCTACTTTCTGGCTGAGATGCAGCTGCAGGCACATCTGGAGTGGCATCTTTCAGTATGCCGATGAACTTCTCGTCTGGTAGCTCCTCGAGGATATCTGGTGCGTGGACTTCATCGAATATCTTTGTGACGTTTGAGCCGGCGCATTTGAGAAGGACTGACCATTGCTCGTTCGTCAGTTTCCCACATGCAGAGACCGAAGCTAGTAGGTTATGCCAGACTCACCTGAAGGACCTCCCGGATGCTCGTTGATAAAGTCCGTGATATCCCAGACTTTGGAGTGCACTGCTATCCAGCAATCCGATTTGGTGTTGTGCTTGCTGAGATCAGTCACACTTATCGTGGCTCTCTCGCTTTCCTCAATCTCTGTCGTCATTGTGGTTTGAATCTTGCTGGCGTTCGGACTCGCTCCTCGCCAGCTCACAAGCACATCCCAAGGTATCCAAGTGACCAGTCGCCAGACAATTCTCTTGCAAGACGGAGTTTTGTCAAGCACGTTAAAATGGTGTAGGTTAATGTTTAGATCCAATTGCCCATTCCCCGAAGTTGCCACAGCCACGGTCAAACCCTATTAACCCCTACACCGCGTTTGTCTGCGACCTGACGGCATCTCGGATCGCCTCACAGATCGCGACATCCCCGTCATTCCGGCCGGTGCTTTGCCACCCCTGTTAGCTCCGCACGCTCGTCCCCCACGTTTCGGTATTCTCGCCGATGTGGGCCGCGGGTAAGCAGCCATGGCCGGCAAGCTTTAATTCTCGCATCGTAAGCACATGACTTCTTCATTGCGAGTCTTCAAACATGGCTGATACTACTGGACGAAGCTACTACAGCAAGGAAAGGATGGGTTCGTTGCGTAATCGGAGCGGAAGCCGTGTGGGATGTGATTCTTCGCAATGTGCAGGCCGAGATGTCTCTCCGCAATTGTCTCCGCATATTGAGAATTGGAGTCGGATATTATGAGGGATTGACTTTCTCAACCAAAAGTGAAGTTGCCTGGCTATCATCCTAGTTCTCAGTACTCAAGTCCATCCTAAGATCACTGGCATCATCTTCGTACTAGGCCTGGCTACTGTTGCTTTTTTTTTCTTCTTCTCATACGCTCACCAGTACCTTCACAATGCCTTACAGCACCATCGCACCCAAGTCGAAGCCCCTCCCGCCGGGGGTCTACACCCCCATCGTCACAATCTACAAAGCAGGCGATCCTCTGCAACCCGTAGACCATGACGCGCTTTACAAGCAATGCCAGGCGTTAGTCCGCGCCGGGATGCACGGCCTAGTCTACCTGGGAACCAACGGCGAGCTCGTCCTTCTGACAGTCGATGAGCGCAAGGCCATTCTCGAAACAGCAGTACGCGCAATCAAAGACCTCGGGAAGCCTGACTACCCTATTGTAGCTGGCATATCCGCAGAGTCAACCCGTGAAGCCATTATCAACGAGAAAGATGCTGGCGCAGCGGGCGCAAGTTTCGGACTCTTGCTGCCGCCCAGCTACTGGGCCAAAGCCTTGTCCAACGACGCGATATTGGGGTACTACCGGGACGTCGCGGATAACTCACCCATCCCCATTGTCATTTACAATTTCCCTGGCGTCACGTCCGGCGTGGACCTTGATTCGGACCACATAACCGCTCTCGCGTCGCATCCCAACATTGTGGCTGTGAAGTTGACCTGCGGTAACGTCGGCAAGGTGACTCGTTTGACGAGCAAGTTCACGCATGAGCAATTTGGTGTTTTTGGTGGTAGCAGCGACTATCTTCTTCCTACACTACAGGCTGGAGGAAGTGGTTGCGTAACGGGCATGGGAAACATCTTTCCGGGTTCAACGTCAGCCGTGTATGATCTGTGGAAGGCCGGGAAGGCTGACGAAGCTCTCAAACTGCAGTATGATGTTGCGAATGCGGAGTGTGCTTGCAAGAAGGGTATTGCCTTGACAAAGTACGGTGCTTGGCACTTCTTTGGTCGCGATATCGGGCTTACTGACGAATCATCGTGGGAGATGAGGCGACCGTATCTACCACTCGGCGACGCCACTAAGAAATGGGCTCTAGAAACACTTGGGGTACTCGGAGATACAGAAAAGCGAAGGTCGTGGAGCAAATAGTCACTTTGCAAATCGGGCATGTATAAGTCGTTAGTTGACTTGCATTCATGTTATTACCTCAGTCAAGACCGTTCTGCATGCGGTCGCAACTGCAATGAGAACATATCAAATCCCTCATAAATTTCTGTTGAAAATGCAGAAGATGTTGCGCTGCAATGTGCTTACATTAAAGTAAGAATGGACGTAAGTTAGGGAAGTCGGAGAGGGGTGGTGCAAAATTTGGAATGTACCCATTGATCACTGAGTTAGTATTATCACCGATCGATCCTTGAAGTGAAATCTCAACGCGGGAGCGGACGCATCTTGATACCTGATATTAAACTAGGCCTGATCTAACCAATCCTCTATGTTGTCTATCCTAACGTACTTGATGTACTGGCGATGGAATGTGAAAGCAATATGCACGCTTTCCTTCTCAACAAAGATGCTAGGATAGCTCAGCTCCCGATTCGTCTTCTCAATTGAGTTGTTCGTCATGCAAAACCCATCACCTTCCGCAAGGACCTTTTTCTTCCATGTTAAGCCATCGTCGCTAGACACAGCAACCGTCAGTGTTTTCCGCGGGGTTCCCCAAATCGCGTTCTTCCCATTCACCGAAGCTTGATTCGGTCTCTTGTCGTCTTCTGGTGTGATATCATCATAGAGACCCTCTCGCTTGACCATGTCAGATTCGGCAGCGGAGCGATTGAATACAATGGCCAGGTTTCCTGACGGCAGCCTTGTGGCACAGATGCCACTGTTAGGGTTCGGAAGAGATGTCGCCTTGGGAGGTGCCCAGTTCAGACCATCTGGCGATGTTGAGCGGTAGACGTTGTCTGCCCATCGACTGCGGAAGAACGCAATGTATTTGGAACCTTGGCTCTTTGGCGCGATGATGTTCATGTGTACAGAGCCAATGCTGTCAGGCACAACATTCTCGGACCACGTTTGACCGCCGTCTTTGGAGTAGAACACTGCAGAGATGTCATTGTTGCCGATCCACCTTTGACCAGGTGTCGATCGGCAATGGAACACTGGAAGGACCCAAGTTCCGTCCTCGAGGATGACAAGAGGCTGGCGCACAAACGCCCCAGTGACACCTTTCAGAGGATAGCGGGGCGGTGACCAGGTCTTGCCACTGTCGCTTGAGGTGCGAGCCATGACGATGGCCCCATCTTGATTGCCAGCATCTTGAGAGGTAGTAGTAGTAGTAGTAGTAGTAGTGGTGTTTTACATCATCAGGGACAGGTGCCCAGCTATCTATGTAACTAAGCTCCGATCAACCAGAGCGCCCTTTGGGCATATGATGTGCCGTGCCGCCATTATAGCGTACGACAAGTCAGGCAGTCTATAATGTACACTTTTCTTCTCGTGCCTAGAGCAGTGGAGTTTAGTATCTAATCCCCAGGGTCCGTTCAGTTCCAAAAAGCACGCCAGCAGGGGGTCCCTGACTCGGCAGAAGCGAATGGGTCTCTAGCAGCCCTACGCCGTCCACAGACGGCGTTGCCGCAACAAGTAACCGGCCCTCGGAGGCATATTTGCCTACGCGAGCATTTTTCTGTTTTCTTATATTTTCTTATATAGAAGATAAAGGAGGAAGGAAGAGAGAGGGGTGTGGTAAGGCCGGGGCCTCAAGGCGTCGGTGGGTGTGTGAGAGAGTTGTGAGGCGCGGGATCTCGGGCTCGCTATCTTTGCAGAGAGTGAGCCTCATCATCTTGAGAGGTATGGAAGAGCCAGATGTCTCCCGTCTTGGGTGCCCGGAAGAGCACTGGGTTCTGGCAGCTTCGATTGGTGTCTGAAGAGATCTTTTCAGGCTTCGACCAGGAAGTTACGCCTGGCTCTTGACGAGATAGCCAGATGCTAATATCTGGAAGGCCTTCCTGGGACCCCCCGAACCACGCGCATAGGAGAGTCTTATCGGGGAGTTGGAGTAGGTTGGAGGCATGGGACTGAACTGTTGCCGCCGGGATGGCGGCAGTCTGCAGGTTTGGAGACATTGCAGGCCTAGTTGTGCGGGCGCTTTGGTATCAAACGAGATTGGGAACTTGAAGTATGTCTACTCTGGTAGGTTGTCTAGTATCGATCTAGCCAACAGTCTGGTATCACCACCATGCAGAGCCAGGTTGAGTCTATGTATTGAGTCGAACCACGTTTGCCAAGTACGACTCCGATACGCACTTTCCTCCCACGCTTCTCCGCACTCAACTGCCCTCGCCCGCCGGCGCGATTTCCGGCCCCGTAATTCATAACCTCCCGGAAAGCCCCCGTCCATGCTCCGTGTCACAGGCGTTTGGAGAGTTCTGGGCTAGGACAAGTCTCCGAATTTCGTATTCCGTCCAAGGCCAAAGAAACAACATTCACAGCCACCAGAAAAACAGCGTAGGTTATTTCCTGTCTTCCTGAATACGGGGCAAGTCAGAGATTGAGCAGGCGACGATCAATCACTGTCAAATAGCAATACGATGCAACCTGATGACACCTCATGAATGAGCTACGGCCTTCTCCCCGATAATTGTATTGGTTGATTTTCCATGGGCACCCCCATGCAGCCATGGCTCGAGAAATGCTGTGGATTACGCGGGGTAATTCGGCTCTTGGAAACTGCTCCCCATGGGGGAAGTTGAGTCTTGTGCTAGGGCCAGTTCGTGAAATGGGGGTCGAGTCAGTTTATCCGGGTATATAATACAGTTGGAACCTTCTATTGACTTGATCTAAAACCAAGAGAGTGCCAACATAGAGTTCCTGGTCCGACAAACTCAACCTTCTACAACACGCAACTTGTGGAGGCAATACTACTGTATTGGATCTGATGATGATCATGGGAAAAGCTGAGCGCTGGCTGGGCTGGATATCTGGGCAAGGTGTAGGTGGGGCAGCTCCGAGATGTGAAGGAGCTGCCTCACGTGACCCACCTGCACCTGCCACACAACTCCTATCAACTTTCGCCGGAAGACTCCTAGCTGGTGTGGCCATCGGAGCGACCTCCATGGTAAGAACTCGGTCACGGTGATATCGAGAACTCAGCCATGAGACTAATGCAAAACTTGCAGTTGGCTCCCCAGTACCTGGCAGAAAACTCCCCAAAGTCTATCAGAGGCTCTCTTACCACATCCTACCACCTGATGATCATCTTGGCGCTTGCCATTGCCTTTTGGGTGAACTATGCAGTCAGCCTTTGGCCGAATCAGGATCCAGATAACAACAAGGCTTTGCAGTTGGCTCTTGGCATCCAGTTGATTCCCGGGTTCTTTCTCTTCGCTCTTATTTGGTGTAAGTCCATGATGCTCCCCCCAACGCCTGACAAGCAACATCAATACTAACAATGATCATCTGGGTAGTCGTCGTTGAAACCTCCCGAGCCCTCATTTCGAAAGGCAAACAAGAACGTGGCCTCAATAATTTGTGCAAGCTGAGAGGCCTGCCCGCCAAACACCCATACGTACACCAAGAGTATCTGGAGATTCTGGCCCAGTCGGAAGCCGAGCAAAGCCAAGCAAAGGGTACGTCAAGTGATAGAACATGCAAACACAAGAACAAAGTTGACCAATACTGCTAGGCCATGGCTACATTGTGGTTGTCAAAGACATCGTCACCAACGCCAGCAACAGACGGAGACTGTTCCTCGCTGTCATGCTCTTCCTTTTCCACAAGCTTACAGGTACAATTGCCCAAACTGCCCTCTAAATAATTCTGTATACGCAGGCTGACAGGAAGCGCCTTTAGGTACTGACTCTCTGAACTACTTTGCGCCACAAATCTTCGCCATGATTGGAGTCCCCAAAGGGTCAAGTTCTCTCTTGACAACTGGGATCTATGGAGTTGTGAAGCTGGTGACGACAATTATCTACGTCACTGTCATTGTCGACCGAGTCGGACGTTGTCTTCCTCTCATGATTGGAGCTACTATTCAAGCTACTGCGATGCTCTACATCGGACTCTTCCTTCGCTTCTCCGACGTTCAACCTGGGAGTGGAACAACTCCTGGTGGCATCGTAGGCATCATCATGTGAGTCGAAATGTCCTATATATGTTAAGGAATTCCCATCTCTAACGTGATATTAGGATTTACCTTTACGCCTTTGGCTGGTCTTTCGGCCACTCTGTCGCACCATATGTGGTGGCCGCTGAAATCTTTCCCTCGCGAGTTCGATCGGTTTGCATGTCCTGCTGCCTCTTCACAAACTGGATCGTGAACTACGGTATTACCTCCGCCACACCGCACATGCTGAGCACCATGAAGTATGGCACGTTCTTGTTCTTCTCCATCATGACGTACATTGGTGTTATCTTCGTCTTCTTCTGTCCCCCCGAGCTCAAGGGCCGAAGCATCGAATCCATGGACGATCTCTTTGCGAACTCACTTTGGACCATGTTCAAGCGTGCCTACCCCACCGAGGATGAGAAAGTTAGGCATGATGTTCAGGAGCAACTGCAGCATGAGGAAGATAAAGGTGTGTCGCATGTAACAATGGTTGAGGACAGTGGCAGGCGTGCTTAAGCGATTAGCAACTACTTCATGATTTTGGAATTCGGGCCACAAATACGGCCTGGAAAAGGAAGATCATTTTTCTCAAGCATGAAAGGAAACATTGATTACGCAGCGAATGCAAAGTCAATGCTCTCCACAATACCTTCTGTGCCACGGGAAGCCTTCCGCAATTCTGTTCGGTGACTTAGTCTGGGCTCCAAACTCGAGTCATGCGCCCCAACAATTGGCTGATAACGAAAGATAGTGACCAAGAAAGAACCCTGGCGTTCTGATAAGACAAAGTGAGGAAAGAGATAAGTCTGTCAAGTTGAACCAGCGAACAGGCATTGCTGCAAAGACTCAAAAAGAAGTGAGGGTCCGATGACGCTCCACGGCGGGGAAAAGACATTCGTCCCGACACAGCGGTGCTAAGACAGAACAGGCAAGTGTCCCAGTAATAGGTGCATGGAAACTTCCGTTATTTCTCCCTGTAATCCACTCACCATGCTTGGGCCGCTGGAAGGGTCCCTCTTTTTCCTTCTTGGCATCAGGATCCCCCCACGTGTTTGTTGTTCGTTACGCCTAACACGCCGGACTTGAGCCACAGCAACGTCGCTTGCCTGTTATAATGGAAGGTCAAACCGAGGTCGTTATATCTTCACCTTTTCAATTAGAAACGCGGCGTCGAAAGGGCTCCAAACACGACAAAACGGGATGTCTGACCTGCCGATATCGGTAAGCCCGCCTCACCGATAACCCTGTCTCACTCACCGGACCTCTCATTCTGATAAGTATCTCTGAACATCAGGAGAAAGAAATGCGTCGAAAACACGTTTCCCGTCTGCGGAACATGTTCTAGATTGAATCTGAAATGTATTCGATCGACGGCTCGTGATGTGGTTCCGACGACCTGGGCGGAGCAGAAAAAGAGCTCGACACAGGCGATGCGGCCATCGACGAGAGATGACTCGATTCAACCACCGTTATGTTTTCCACTGGTTGCTTCACCGCCAGGCATTGATCAGGCCGAACCACCCCAGAAGCGACAAGTGATGCGATACTATATCACAGTGTTGAGTCATTATTTGACTGCAAGCGAGCAGGTCAACTCTTTTCTATCAGGTGCGTTAAATTTCTCACGCCATGAATGAACCAGACGTAGCCTCACGTATATTTTGGCGGACCATAGTTGACAATCAGTTGATCCCAGAGTTTCTACCTATGGCTATGGAGTCGAGCGTGCTTTACGATGCGCTGGTAGCCTTTGCTTCTGGTCACTTATCGCTCTCGAATGAGTCATATCGAGTCTCTGCCTTGGAGGCACACTCGACAGCAATTACCAATCTGGCCACAGCCCTCAGTCAACCGCAGCATGAAACTACATGGTACGAGACCAAAGCGGCAACATGCTTAGCCTTTGTCATTGGTGAGGTATGCGTGGGAGACAATGATGGGTGGAGTGCCCACCTGAACGGCGCCAAGCTCATCATTGAGTCAGCCGTGGCCAACTCCAGCTCAGGCACGACCTTGCGAGGTCCGGAAGTCTTCAAACGGAGCTCCGAAGGCCAGTGGATTCTTCGAAACTTTGCATATCACGACATGATTGGCAGCGTGACAATGCGGAGGAGGCCGCTGCTGGACTGCAGCTATCTGGATGGTATTACGGATGTTGTGGACACCTACCTAGGCGTGGCCACGGACCTTTTGCGCCATGTTGCTACTTTGAGTAGCATCGACGAAGAGACCAGGCTGGATGTTGATATGGGAACGGAGGAAAAAACCAGAAGAAGGGAGGTGTTTCAAGCCACCTGTGAAGAAGTCGAGCAAGAGCTGCAAGATTGGCGGTGCAGACCAGACGCCGCTCCAGAACTTGCTGCTCTGGCACATGCATTCAGAAGCGCCGTCTTGATTGTTCTATTTCGACTGATTCGAAGTCGACTGAGTTCGGAGGAAGGGTCTACTCGAGACGAAAGCTCCGAAGCAACGACATGGGGCGTACTACCCACAAAGTTGCGGACCCAGGTGTCCAATACCCTGAGGCACGTATCTGATATTCCGGTTGGGTCACACACAGAGTCGGCAATACTCTTTCCGCTCTTCCTTGCCGGCGGCGAGGCGACTGAAGAAGAACACATGGATGCTGTCCGTGTTCGGTTGCAGATGACGTTGCAGAAACGACGATTCCAGAACATTTCTCGCTCTTTGATAATACTAGAAGAACTATGGCAAAGGCGGCAGAGCTCTGCTTTGACGGAGAAGGTAGATTGGACCGACATCTTGGATGAAACTGGGGAACATCTACTCTTGACCTAGAGCCGGGTCTCGGTGTTAATGCACTTGTGTCTACTACTTATGATAGAACTGCGCATACAAACACTGGATGTATAGAGCGTGAGGTCGGCGACCATGTATGAACCATGCTCATCGAGCGATGCTGAACCAATAGTCTTTAAGCTCACAACTAGATCTAGGATGGTCAGGATGATCGGCACCTTTCCTTACCCCGCCTTGGGCCGACGCAAAGCCTCCACACACGCCAGATACGCCATGCAGATACGCCTTGAACCCACATGATACCGTATCAGATAGTTAACCTCCAATCTCGGCCGGCGTTCAGATGAAGGGCACGATAACGATAGAAAGTGGTACACTTACGACTATATCTCTAACCCACATCCCGCTGATGGTCACTTAGCTTGCCAGCTCGCACGCATCTGCTTACAACGTCTCATACCCTCAAATACCACATCTATCTCATGTCCACCTGATTTTCTCCCACAACTACCTGATACTCTAGAGATGGCCACTGCCTCACAAAAGGTTGTCAGGACAGTAACAAAGGTTGGCCCAGAGTTGGTCTCAACACTCGCCGTGAAAGGGGTCCCAGCTTCCAGCGCAGTCCTTCATCGCTCACTTAAAAGCGCTCCACCTCACGTGGTATCGGCGAAGGGCAAACATCTGACATTTTCCGATGGCCGAACCATCCTGGACTCAACATGCGGCGCAGCAGTGGCGTGCATAGGATCGAACAATGAACGGGTCAAAAAGGCTATGGTTGAGCAAATCGACAAGTTTGCCTATTGCAACTCTATGTTCTTTGGTCACGAGATTGGCGAGAAGCTGGCTGATGAACTCATTGACGGCACGGGCGGTGCCATGTCGAAGGCGTACATTATGTGCTCTGGTGCGCTTCTCGAACCCAGCTGAGTAAAAAGAATCCAAGTAGCGGACGCTAACTTTATTATGTGAATGTAGGCTCCGAGGCAATGGAATCTTCGATGAAGATGGCACGACAGTATTTCATGGAGCTGTCTCCACAACAGCCAAAGCGGATCAACTTCATTGCGAGAGAAGGATCTTACCATGGCACTACTCTTGGCTCTCTATCAATGAGTGGTCATGTCGCGCGACGGAGTCTGTTCCTCGATATGTTACTTCCGAACATTTACAGAGTGTCTGCCTGCAACCCATATCGCGGCATGAGCGAGGGCCAGACCATCGAGGAGTATATTGCTCAGTTGGCCGATGAGTTGGATCAAAAGTTCCAAGAGCTTGGCCCTGGTACTGTGTGTGCGTTTGTAGCAGAGCCTATCGTTGGTGCAGTAAGTTATCAATCCGTCTCCCACATGTATCAAACTCTTGCTCGTTCTAAGAGCCCTTGGTGCAGACTCTAGGTTGTGTTCCGGCCCCGCCTGGATACTTCACAGCCATGAGAAAGGTTTGCGACAGGTATGGCGCCCTTCTCATCTTAGATGGTAAGAATAATAATCCATGGCGTACTCCTGGATACATGTATATTTGCGCTGGATGCTGACATGCGCAAAGAGGTCATGTCTGGCATGGGCCGCTGCGGCTCCTTGCATGCTTGGCAACAGGAAGGGGTTGTCCCTGATATTCAGACACTTGCTAAAGGTCTCGGTGGCGGCTACGCGCCCATGGCGGGCATGCTTATCAACCACCGCTTAGCTGACGCCCTCAAGAATGGTAGCGGGTGAGAGCTCCTAAACTTACTCCACGTGTAACTCAAGGGTCGACTAACCACCATCCAGCTCATTCTCACACGGACACACGTATCAAGGCCATCCAGTTGGATGTGCCGCCGCACTAGAAGTCCAGCGGATCATTCGCGAAGAAAATCTCATTGAAAACGTTCGAAATCAGGGCGCTCTGCTTGAGGCGCGCCTAAGGTACTACCTGGATGACCATCCTCATGTTGGCAATATCCGAGGTAAAGGCCTCTTTTGGGGGGTAAGTCCATCAGAGCTGGCATAGTCCCAATTGCTTTTTCGAGTAAACTCACAGTCTCCTCTTTTTAGATCGAGTTCGTCGTGGACAAACAAACCAAGGAACCTTTACCAAGATCTGAGGATATTGCCAACAAAACCCACCTCGTGGGGTTCAACGATTTCGGTATTAGCTTGTATCCTGGAATGGGAACGAAAGATGGTATTTTGGGCGACCACGTCCTCCTTGCGCCGGCATACACCAGCACTAGCGAAGAGATTGAGGAAATCGCATCCAGGACTCGAGATACTATCTTCCAGGTATTCAAGAGCGTTGGAACTGCAACCGGTATTTGACCATTTTGCAGCCCAGATTACATGTATGTACCCTTTAGCAATAGTAATGATCAGCCGAAGTCGCCCCTAAGCCTTCAAAGATCCGACCTTATTCTAAGTCAGCCAGACGAGAATAGCAGAAAGCCGTTGTGAAGTACGTTTCCAGCAAAGTTCTATTAGCTATAGAGTCTTCTGCAAGTTTTGCCCAATGGCATTTCGTTGCTTCAATTCTTATGATGATAGGACAGGACGATCGCCACCCCAGGTGCCCAGTCACCACACCAAATGCAAGCTAGCGGCGGCCTAGCCATCACACCCTGATGTGTCAGCAGGCTTCTGCATCAGCATTTCGCGCCTTTCTGAATCCTCCGAGTCTTCACTTCTATGCCCCTATTCTTGAGGTGAACATAAACAACGGGACTTTGCTCGAAGAGCACGACTAGCCACCATGAGCCTCGACCCAAGGTGTGTGGGCGACGTGACCTTCAACACCCTCTCTTCGAATGCATTCTCCGAATGGCCGGAGTCCATCGCCGGCATAATATGCAAGACTCCACCCGTCGGCCGCAACAGCGCCCCGCGCTTCGCCGAGTGCTGCTCCGGCACGGTCTACAACATCACAAGCCCAACCTCGCCCAGCGACATGGCGTACCCAGTCTCGTGCGCTACCTTTTGCCAAATCAGTCCGCAAATGAACGTCGACAACCCGCAAAACCCATATGGGTTCAGCGACCACTTCATGTGTCTCACCGACGGCACCAGGGAGCCCTCGTCTGGGGAGGTCGTCTGCGCCACGGTGACTTTGCCGGGTGTGGCGTGGCCTACGGTGTTTCCAAATACGCCTGTTCTCTCGTCGAAGACCAGATCTTGGACGACGGATATTTACTCACGGATCAGCGAGGTTACGTCTCTTGGTGACAGCCAGACTGCATCGCCCACTGCGACGGTGTCGACGGATGTAGCGACAACTTCGTCGTCTCAGAAACTTTCCATCTCGACGTCAGAATCAAGCGCCGAATCCACCTCGCTTACCACAGCGTCGGCAACAGCGACAAGCGCGGCTGCGGCGACACCGACGGGCAACAGTGCCGCCACAGGTGCAAAAGTGCATGCGAAACACCTCATGCTGAACGTACTGCTTCTTGTAGGCGCTTTCTGTCGCGCTTAGAACAGTTTTCACAATCGATGAAGTCGAGAGAGTTAACATACGGACTTGTGCTGTCAAAGGTCCCGAGCATGCAGCCGTCAGTCGTATCGGGCTTTTCATCGCTTATGTCGGAACGTCCCCATGGATTTGACTCGTTTTTCAAGCTTAAAACCATGGACTAAGATTGGAATTGCTGGTCACGGAATGCTGAACAGTATGTAGTGTTCCGTGGTCAATATCGGCGACTTTGCTTCGATAACCTTGTTGAGATCTTTAGCTGAAACCCGATGACACTCGGGATACATTCAATGTTAAGTTGCCAAGCTTTAAGACAAGCATCCTTCTCAGTGCTGGGCCCACCTATCCAATGTTGATGCTCAAGTGATCCACTCATCGTCTCACCGCTAGTTGACTCCAATTTGTTGTCACTCACATAATCATGAAAGGAACATGGAGAGAGTTGAGCACATTTCACGTACGACGCCCCAGAGACTTATCAAATGAGTAGTGAATTATCTCATTCAGTCTCGAGACTTCTCGAATGCACGCTTGGCGAAATACTAGTTCTACCTCAAAGCATTAAATACTTCACGTGAGCTACTCAGAATCCAAGAGTCTGTCCCGCCTCCTTGGTTACAGCAGCTTTCACATTGGCAGAACCAAGCAGGGAGTAGGAGTAAGGGGGGCTGTTAGCATTTAGCGTGCCAACTGATGCAGTGTTCTGGCTTTCACCGCCAAGTACAACATCAATGGCGACAACATATCTGTGGAGCGAACTTGTTAGGCCTGAACTTTACCAGCTTAAGGTCAGTCAAAGTGGTTGAAGAGACTTACCCGATTTCCTTGCTGGACTCGCTAAAGATGGCTTTCTTTCCAACATTCTCAAAGACTGAGCTCTGGATGAGAGCTTGTGCGCCCATGCGGGTGTTAAGACCAGTGTCCATGGTGTTGTAGAATTGGTTGTAGACGTGGACAGTGCCAAATCGCAACAGAGGACCGCGGCTGCGGACGTTGTAGAAGTGGTTGTTGGCATAGGTGACATGGAGAGTTCCCGTATCCTCAGCGGCATTGCTATCAGAGTGACCAACGAGAGAACCCTTGGAGTGATCATGGAAATACGTGTGGGAGATTGTGACCCAGTCGGCGGCGTGGGAAAGATCAGTCAACCCATCGTAAAAGTCCTTATCGCCATCGCGGGTAGCAGACAGATCGCAATGGTCGACCCACACGTTCTTTGACAGCTGGATGGTGATGGCATCGCCGTAGTCTGCTTCGACCTTACTGATTTTCATGTTGCGGACGATGACATTCTTTTGGCCAAGGATGGTGAGGCCGATGCCCTCTAGGGCTGTGAACGGAAATCATGAGCGTTGAGGAAGTCAAACTGAGTGGCGTCACTTACAGCTGCCCGTCTTGCCAACGATTGTCTTGTCAGAGCCCACTTGGACTTTCGCCGCGCCAACAATGTTTCCTGACACAATCACAATTCCTGGGCCGGATGCAATTGCCGCAGCGGAGAGTTGAGCAAGGTTCGTCACTGTGGTAGTAGTTCCTCCGGCACCACCCTTTGTTCTAAGTGTCACAGATCAGTATAAGTCATCAAGAATTACAGGCGTTATGTTTCCCCACCCGCCATTCTGAGTGGCATAACCAATGTTTGCCGCATCCGTGATGGCGGCCCTCTTGTTCAAGAGATGGACTTCAGGGCTCGTCGGGGTGGGTGAAGCCGATGCGGCGACAGCCAGCAAGGCCCAGGATGCGAAACCGGACAACTTCATAGCGAAGAATACGAAGAGAGACAAAGTATATACAAGAGAGACAAGTTTCAAGAACCTGGTGGAGCGCTGGGGATTAAGCTTATACTATTTGGCAAACATGCGGACGACGATCGCTTATATGCCGATGGCTTAAAGTCCCAGCAGCATCATGACATGAGTTCTTTACTCCACATCTCATCCTGATTCTCCTCAACTCTTTAATTGATATGAAGCCAAGACACACACCAGAGGAGAATATCATAGCCGACACATCGTTTACTTGGCATTGTGGCATTGTGGTATTGTCTTCCTCCATTGCTAACCATCCCAAGCCTCTGAAGATGCCCTCTTAGGTGGAATGGCCGGGGTATTTCAATTCCCCCGAATGAGACGACATCTTCTCAACCATGCTTCACAAGACTCGACCATGGTCGCTCGCTTGAAACGGAAACTTACCAAAATCGTAACGGACGCAACGTGAGGTCTTTCTCCATTGGACCAGCAATCTATCCGGTTCTCTTGTCGACGGCGCTGTCCATCCCCATTCACACATTAAAAGGGGCATTCTGCGGAGAAAATTGTTGTTGGAGGAAAATTGCCGGGGTTAATCGCCCGCTCGCCCCACGACGAATGGCGGAATAAGGCGTGGGGGTCCGGCGAAAACGTGATCAACTTCGGGTGCTGCACTCCACCGTCTCCACTTTGCCCCGGACTGATCGGGACCGGCACGGCAACCGCATCGGTGGATCATAATAGCGCACATCTAGCGTCCGGATCATCGTTCTTAGTTCTCGGATTAAGACGATCAACATCTCTAGCGCCGACTATCTACCGAAAAAACAGACGAATGAATTGGGTAAGCACGTCGGCGACTGACAGATAGTTGAGCTCTGAGCTCTTCCTGCGATTCAGTGACGGGTGAGACGTCCGACAATACTCCAACTCAGGAGCCATTAGCTTACATGATGGGCTTATTTCGAACATCTACAGGCCCTCAACTTTCATTCCGGGCGAGGACACGGCCGAGCCTCACAGTGGTGGGCGTCTCGTACGAGAGGGGGGCTGTACGGGAATGGGAGAGAAGAGACTCACGGCCGAATCTTGATTTTTGGAGACTTTTTCTGCGTCGTATGTGGCTGCATGGACAAGGCAGAAATCCAAAAAGCCAAAATAGTTCGTCTTGCATTCCAATAACCATGGGCTTTGCATGTTTCCCATGTGAAATCCCGCCCTGGTGTCGCTACACTTGACCACGGGCGGGAATGGGTTGTTCCGAGCGTCTATTCACGATGTGTTTGGCCCCAATTACACAGGTGGAAATAGGATCTGTTTTGAGCTCAGTTAGACCATAAGGAAACATTGGTCACAAATAGTTGTGAGGGCTGCGACCCCTATCTTAATGCTTGATTAAAATGAACCGATTGGCTACTGAGAACTCACAGCGTAGGGCTGGAACAAAATGCCAACATCTTATCAGGAAAGGAAAAGAAAACGAGCATTCAGCGGCATCAGGGCGGCACGATCCGGGTTGGTCTGGACTGGACTGCTTGAGCATGCCGCGTACGTTCAGGTTTCACGGCATCCCTCAACGCTTTTCTTTTTCGTTAGAGGCTGGTGCGGATGGACCTCCCTGACTCTATTTTAGATTTCATCTCAAATCATCAGCTTGCTCGAAATATGTCGCAAAAACGACGCCGTTAATTACGGGCAGCAATTAACGCCATATATACCCTACGACAAAATACACCTGCGACGTCGGGTGGATTTGCTCCCCAAGGAAGCATTTGGTATTTCGTAGGAACCAACATACTTTCCCAGTCAAATTATAACGGTCCCTGGAGATTCCAAAGGCTCTTCAAGTCGAGTGTCACAGGTCTTCTTGATGGTTCCATTCCAGCTTGCTTCTGGGTTACCCTACTGTATTTCCCTAACCCCAACATCATCCGTTTCGCCAGATCTCTCTTGGAACCTGCACTGGCTGGAAGGTGAACAACCAATGGAAGAGCTGACGTTGTCACAGCGCCCCTGAGCCGATTTCACTGAGTTCGAACGGAATTAACCACCTTCTTTGTCTTAGCCCCTCGCCGGACTTTTCCCGAAATAACTATTCGATTTATTGCTATGCCAGCTCGAGCTACCGATGCAGGTACAAATGTTCGATGGCCAAAATTCAGAGAAGTATGTGGCCCATAAATTCGTTCTAGAAATTTTGTAAACGTGCCGTATCTCAACCGGCGGTCTGGACCAGCCGTTGGGTTTTCAGTGTTCTTGCATATTTAGAGCCTTCGAGCTGGGTTTAGGATTCCAGGCAATCACAAGCCTAAGTATGTGGCACTTGATGTGTGAGGCTGATACTCAGGGGTACCAGGCCTTGACCAAAAAGTTGAGCCAGGGTATGCCGACTTCTCCGAAGACTTGCCTTTTCGAACCCGCCCTCTCCAACCTCATCCTTTCACCTAACTTGGGCGGCTGTTACGGCTTCTTGCGCATTGAAAAAGGGTATCCTAGCAATCTCGATCGAGATTCCGTAGATCATCACCCACTTTAGGGGAATTTCTCACAGAACTCCAACTGGGTCGTTTCAATTCGGAAGGCTGTTAGCACTTTGTCCAACCTCACTTTTGAGTAACCAGCCACACAACATTGACTCGACAGCAAGCCACTGGATCGCGGTGCCAACTCATTGTGACCAGTAATTGCCAAGAGGGGGGAACTTTTACCACCTGTTTGACACAACTCTCCTGCCACCATCGTGTCCGCCTCGTCGCAGATGGGGCAGAGTGTCGTGGCATCGGTGGAGGTTCTGCAGTCATCTGCAAAGACCTGACATGTTCAAGTCATGAGGCTAATTTTCTTGCAGAAGAAGTAACTCTAGTGAAGGGATTCCCACACCTCGTACAGAAGGCCAACACCGCCGAAACCCGGTCCAAGACTCTTCACCCACTTGGACTCATTGCGATGAGAGTCGGAAGAGATTTTTGTCTGCCACACTGTGTCACGGAAAGACTGGAGAAAGGGGGCTGGCGCCCGCCATAATCATGGCATTGGCACGTTCAACCTCCCATAGAACACTTTCATTATGGCCTTCAGCCTACCTATCGTCGCTGCTCTTGGACAGATGACAGCCTGGGGTTAAAGGAGGATGGAGGGGGCGCACAGATGAGAGGGAAGGGAGCACGGGAGTGGTCGTAAAGCCATCGGATGTCCGACGTGGAACCGCGTAATACTCTACGTACTCGAACTCACAACTTGCGCAGCCGGCAAGGCAAGTTTTCGGGTTGAGAGCTCCCACATGGAGGAAGACCGCATAGAACAAGGGTGTCCGAGCTTCCCTCGGTTGCGGTGAGCGAGCTCAACACTGGGAATGCTAGACGACGGTTGCAGAATATTGATGGAGTTCCCACTCTAAGGGTCGTCAAACGACTTTCTTTTTGAAACTAAGCGAAGCGAGAAGGATATTCGAGCTTGAACGGCGAAATGCAAACGGAATGAAAATAGGAGTCGTGATTTCCTCGGCGTGTGGCACGGTGCAATCGTTGAACCTGGCAATCCGTAATTTTCACAGACTGATTGACGCCCAGACATCTAACGGAGTTTCCCATTTGCACTAGAACTCTAGTTAGCGACAGGTAGACTCTTTGGAAGTTGCTGTCATTTCTTCCGTCTCCCGCCGGTTGTCTGAAATTCCACCCGAATGGAAGAACAAACGGCCGCTACGATGAGATAACCCAAGAGAGGAAGACGCTCGCGAAAGAGGATGGTAGACGTACAGAACTGTGTAGTGCCACACGGGACACCGTCCCAGGTACTTCATTTGAATCCATCAGTCTGCTCCTCATCCGAGCCACACCATCATCGGCTCTTCTCAACTCTACGTTCGTGTGAAAACTGCCCATTTCGAATGACAAGGCCAAGACCACCATATCGCGCAATTTTCCTCTCGGACCATTCCTTAAAGTTGGGCGATCATCTGCATCAAGGGTTAAAGGCCACCCGAAAAGCCAAAGAAACCTAGTGGCAGTGGTGGAGCAATGCGACGTTTCCAAACCCCAGGCGATGGATCGTCGTCCTCGGTTTTGAGCAGGCCTTTCACGATTCAGCAACACCGTCCCGACTACCGGTGACGCGCCGTATTTCCCAGCCCTCGATTCGTCTCATTCGGCAATGCCAAAGCTTTCACTAGAAAACTGGGCTAAAGCCCCTCAGCTCATATTTGGAGTTGTTAATGGGTGTTCTGGAAGTGGCAGCTTAGCGTCTCCCGATCTTTCTGGGATCTCTTCACTAGAGGCCATAATCGTGAAGCTGTCATACAAGGATACTGCAGTCGACGTGTCAAAGGTGGTGCACTAGCGCCTTGGGTCTCCTGAGTTTAAACGTCGATGATCCCAGCTCCGAGCCCGTATTAACGCCCGGTTTTATAACTCCAGACCCCAACCACACAGACGCCGCAATGCCTCATTTGCCTCAAAATTGGACCTCGTTTCACCCTGTCCCTTCAGCCCCTACACAGTTGAGTTGATGTGATCCCATCGCCTTCAGTCTGATTTTGACGTCACCCGTCCGGGATCTCGGCTTGAGTTTCCCCCCATATCCCTCGCTCTCGCCGGGGCACGCCAGCAAGCCTTACCCGGCCATAAGATTCGCTTGCATGAGATCGGCCCTGGGGTCATCCATGACTTCCGCCCTCCGCACTGCCCGGTCTGCCGACCACTCACGTCCGTGAGATCGGCGACCCCCGTGAGCCAGAGGCAGGTAAAGCATCCTGTGAGCACTTTGGGAGGTCGATGGAGGCTCAACGGTCCCTTGTCGAACCTCCCCATCCCACCATTGCCTATTTCGCAATCCAATGTCCCCGCGGTCCTTGTCGAAACTAAGTCAGTGGCTGATCAGACGAAGGAAATCAAGGCCTAACTAACCGAAAAATGCGGTGACGTCGAGCTAAAGAGAGGGCTGGTTGGGCATCCATTTGAGTTTGAGAGCAGAGGTATATTATGCCTTCGGACACCTTCGGAATACAGGAC